ATACATCTGATAAGGGGGTAATTTCCAAAATATGTAAAGAACTTATACAAATCAATAGCAAGAACACATACAACCCAGTTAAAAAATGGGCAAAGGACCTGAATAGACACTTCTCCAAAGAGGACACGCAGATGGCCAAAGCACATATAAAAATGTTCAACGTCACTAATCATCAGAGAGATGCAAATTAAAGCCACGATGAGATACCACCTCACACCTGTCAGAATGGCCATCATCAACTAATCAACAAACAAGTGCTGGCGAGGATGTGGAGAAAGGGGACTGTGGGTGGGAGTGCAGACGGGGGCGGCCGCCGTGGAGACAGTATGGAGATTCCTCAGAAAGTTAAAAATGGATCTGCCTTTTGACCCAGCGATCCCACTTACTGTTCTATATATATCCAAAGAAACCCGAAACACTAATTTGAAAGAACATGTGTTCACTGCAGCGTTACTTGCAATAGCCAAGTTAGGGAAGCGGCCCAAGTGCCCAGGAGGAGAGGAGCGGATAAAAGCTGTGGTTCAACCACACAGTGGAATGTGGTACTTGGATTTGAACAAGAAGAAAACCTTACCTTCTGTGACAGCACGGATGGACCTGGAGGGGGTCGTGCTGAGTGAAGTAAGTCAGACGGAGAAACACAGGTGCCATGTGACCTCGGTCATACGTGGAATCTAAAGGACAACATAAACAACCGAACAAAACTGACACCGCAGACACCACCTGTCAGAACAGACCCGGGGGGGGGGGCGCTGGGTGGAAAGGGGACGGGACTGAGACGCACAGACCGCAGTCACAGAGCTGTCACGGGGACTTGAGTCGGTGACGTTACGAGGACTGCCTCCGGGTGGTGGTGGACACACCAGGGGGACCCTTTGTAAAGTGTGGGTTTTATGACCACTGGGCTGCCCACCTGAAACTAATACCAAATAATATCGAGTGAAAACTGCAACACTTTTTAAAAAACAGAGGCAGCCAGGAGGGCCGGCACCAGGGGCAGCGCAGACTGAGGCTTAGTGGACTCACCGGGGCCCCTGCGGGTGGCCCTCCGTTCACTGCGCCCCAGTGAGGACTGCCATGCACCCTGGTGAGGACTGGGCACCGACTGGGAAGCTGCCTGCCTCTTGGCGCCCAGCCCACCCCGGGCGGCGGCAGCCTGGCCTGTGAGTGTCCAAACTCGCTCCAGCTGCGCCCAGGAGACAGGCGGAGCCGGTAGTTAAGGAGCGTGAGAGAGGCACCAGGCCTAAATGAAAATGCGCCTACTCCGCAGGTGCTGGCAAGCCCAGGTGAACCGGACAGGGGCCGGCTGGACAAAGGACCTGAGTGGGAGGGAGCTGGTCTTCGTGCTCCCAGGACCCAGCTCCTAACCTCCGCCTGCAGCCCTGGGGCCCTGGGCAGCACCCCCAGGGCTCTCCCCTTGGGTTTTCGGAGCCACCCCCACGGCCCTGTTTGAAATCTCCTTCTATCTCCCCTGCGATACCTTTGCTGACGGCCTCTCCTTCCCCGGTCTGTGCAGGTCGAGGTTTATTCGGTGCTTAGCAGATGCCAGACACCCCAGTCCCGTGGCTTCGCTGCAGAAATAGCACCTGGTCCCCCTTTTACTAATGGACGGAATGATGTGTCCAAGGCCCGGAGACACAGGCAGCCAGCAGGCAGCACGGCGAGGGGGGCAGCCCCCCCACACCCGTGCCCAGGGCCCGGCCAGAGCAGGCAGCCGGGCGTGAGCCCGCGGCCTCCGCAGGCAGGTTGCCGGTGCAGAAGCGGCAGCGACCACAGCCTCTGCGGAGGGGTCCCCCTGCTCTCTGTTGCCACGAGGTCGGGGGGTCAAGATGTGTGGGAGCTGCTGACACCGTCGTGGGGACAAATGGCATTGAAGAGATGAGATGGGAAGTGAATGGGGTAGGGAGGGTTGGCTTCGTATTTCCTCTGCCATCGTCCGTGTGCAGACGACCTGCTTTCTGGGTCTGAGCCGAGGACCGTCGACAGCCGCCCCGTGTCCGGCCCCCGGGGGCCCCGCCGTGGAACCCAGAGGACGGTGTGCATTTCAGTGCATGTCCCGTGGCAAATGGCCTGTGTCTCCTCTGCACAGGGCACAGACTCTGTCCATTTCTGCTTAATTGGATTCGGGGGGGAAATGATCATTTCCCCCTCCACCTCGCTTCCCAGCTGCTTCAATGTCTCAGGGCAAAAGTAGCCTGCAAACGTGAGGACCAGTGGGACCCTGGATGGAGACACTACAAAGAATGTTGGGGGCGATTCACGGATGTTTCTGTAACAGATGTGACGCTGCCGGAATCTGGCTTAAATCACGGCTCCCGCAACAGGGCTGTGACTTGTGTGGCTGCAGTGCCTCCCGCCTGTGAGTCTCGTCCCCTGAGCTTCTCCGCAGACCCCCCGACCCCCACGCCTGAGTCTCCAAGGGGCGGTTCCACGTCAGCCCCCGAGTGTGGCCGAGGGGAGCACAGTCTCAGGAGAGATCAATGTTGGAAGGGGAACGTGGGTGAAAGGCACGGGTGCAGTCATCACTGAGCCTGCGTCGCGGAGCCCGGAGCTGGCCGCACAGAGCTGCTCCCCGACCCCGAAACGGCGCCGCTTTCTTCCCCGCTCGTTCTCTGCCTGTCCCCTCCTGGTCTGTGCCTTGTCCTCCAAGTCCCCGCTGTGCCGGGCAGTTCCCGCGGAGTCCTAACTAACCCTGTGACTGCAGACAGCGATTTCCCGGGTCCAGGCAGGCGGACGGGATTCGTTCCTTTATTGTTTTTGACAAAAGCCGGTCAGGCGCGATGCACCGTTTACCAAGTTTGTTTTCACTTCCACGGTGCATCATGGAAATTCCACCTTTTACCCCCAAACACCCGTGCACACCCGCAACTTCTACATCCAGGGGTTCACACTGCCCAGGCCGCGTTTTTCCTGCATGTTCACGGGCCTCCTTCCCCCACTCGGGGCCCGGACCCACTGCGCTCACAGCCACCCCGTCCGTCATGAACACACAGCGAACTCGCAGCGACCTGGCGGGTGTTCGTTCGTGATGTTCTCCGCCCTCCTCGGTGGCGTCCAGTCCTACCTGCACCTGCGCAGGCACATGCTTGTGCGGGTCCCTCGTTTAAGGCATTTTGGCCTCCACTTTCCTTACAAACGTGGGGGTTTCCTGCCCATATTGACTTTCACTTTATTCACACAACTGAACGTGTGTGGCTCCCACACTAAACCCACTAGCACAGGTCAAAGGCACACATGACGGCTGTGCGATGTCACCAGGTGTGTCTGTGCCTCCCGAGTCACCTGGTCAAGGCCATGGCGTCCTGCTGGGGACACCGGGGAGCTCCTGTGCCCCACACGCCCCTGTGAAACAGGGGGGGTATTGAGAGTTCACACCTGAACGCAGTGTGCCTGTAGATGGCCTCTTTTTGCGGCTTTGCTGACCCAGGAACAGCCTTGGAACGTCTCACGAGGTCTGTTCCTCTCCTTCTCCGGCTTCTCCCCGGTGTCACACGGAGACTGAGGGCCCCGTGACTGTCTTCACCGTTAACTGCAGCTTCCTGGGATCACTCACACATGGGACCTGTCCCCGTCACTGAGGCCAGCGCAATGCCACCAGTCCCCTTCCACTCCCTAAGCCAGTGGTGACACAGGTCCGTCTGGTGGGGGTGCAGGTGGGGGCAGGCGGCGGGGTGGGGGTGTGAGGGAACTCCCCATACTGTCCCCTCAGTTCTGCTCGGAACCTGAAACTACTGAAAACCCTGCAGTGCACTACAAACACCGCGTGACTTGAATAAACGCGGAGCCGTTTGATTCTTGCCCTCGAACCACCACTGCTGGAAATGACTGTCTGGACCAGGGGTGCCAGACTCATCTTCCCCGGGGGCCACGTCAGCCTGGCGGTGGCCTTCGAAGGGCCTGTGTAAGTGTCACTGCTCCTTAACTCGGGGCAAGGAGCTCGGCGCTGCCGCCGGGTGGAAACACGGTGCCGGGTAAAACCGGGCGGAGGGCCCTGCGTTTGCTGCCCGCGGTCCACACAGAAGAGCCCGTGGGCTGCGCGTAGCTGACTAGGGGCAGGTAGAGAAAACCCGTCTGGGCGCCCCGCACCCCCCGCCCCCGCAGAGACGGACTCGGCTCCCCTTCCCCTGCACAACAGACGAGGTGGCGTCGTCTGAAGGTCCTCGCCGCTGCCCGACACCCGACGGGAGAGCCTGCTCGGCGGGGGGGCCGCGTGGCTTGGGCACGTCTGAGTTCCGGGGTCCCTACTGCCCTGGGGAGTGCGAGCCGCCTGCACGAGACTCGCTTCCGAGTGAAAGACACACTGAGGCCGCGAGTAAAAGGATGGAGTGTTACAGGGTCTTCCTTGGGCAGAAGGAGGAAAAAGATCGAAGGGGGAACAGTGAAATGGAAATGAATACATATCAACAAATGAATCTAAAAGCAAACAAACAAAGAAGCGGAACGGAAGCCGACTCACAGACTGGGGGCTGGGGGCCAAAGGGGAGGGGACGCAGACCTCCGGATGGGCGGTCGCGGCAGGATGTCCCGTCCGGCGCGGGGAACAGAGTCGGTGACGCTGGAATGGCTCTGTGTGGCGTCGGGCGGGGATGAGACTCACGGGGAAGATGGCCCAGCGCCATGCCCGGCATGTGACCACTGGGGCTAATGCGCTGCGTACGTCAACTGTGACTGAAACGTGACTGAGGAGAGAACACGGCCGCCGATGCGTTTCATTTTCCTCCACGGAGACCCTGGATCCCAAATGTGACGGCCACGCGGTGCTTCTCAGTCTGCACAGGTGTCTGGCTTCCTGGGGACGGTCATTTGTGGGTGCTTCTCGGGCCAGGTTCCGTCACCCTGCCACCAAGCCCTGAGGGGTGGAGGTTAGGAGGGACCTGTCCAGAGGGCTGACGCCCACCCCCTAGGGTCCCCCCACTGTGACCCTGTGTGACAGTCGTAATTGAACAGGCGAGGAAGAGGGTGTAGTTCAGACGACTGGGTACAGAAGAACCACAACAAGCTGCCTCTTAAAGGTTTATTCGTTGGAAGCAAGAAAACACAGAGTGACCAGGTCACACCGGCCCAAGAGGCTCCAGCCAGGACCTCGTCAGCCCCAGGAGGCCAGACCCAGGCGAGGACAGGATGCTGCCAGAGCCCCCGCCGTCCACTCAGGCACCTAAACTAGCAGTGAACGGAGATGAAAACACCACGGGGGACCCCAGGGGCTCCGCGCACAGAGCGCGTGGGCCTGGACATCCGGCCCCCACCACGCTCAGGGTTCCGCGGGGCCGGAGGCGGCGGCCGGGGGCAGGCGCTGGGGCGTGGCCTGCTGGGGCGGCTGCACGTCGGGCACCTTCTCGCCGTGCTTGTACACGCTGACCGTCACGTCGATCTTCTCGCCCCCGTACTTGTTCTTGACGTTGATGCTGTACTTGCCGGAGTCCTCCGAGGTCACGCCCTTGATGCTCATGCTGACGTACTTGGCCTGCTCCACCTTCACGGAGAAGTGCTCGTTGAGCTCAATGTCCTTGTCGTTCTTGAACCACACGACCTCGGGGTCGGGGTTTCCAAACACCGTGCAGGTCAGATTCAGGGTCTGTGGGGGGGAGGGCGGTCAGGTCCCCGCACGGCCGGGCCCGTCACACTCGGGGTCCCTGCCGTCCCTTCGAATCGTCCGCGAGTCAACGGGCCCTCGTGTGCGGAAGCACCGGGCCAGGCCCCGGGGCCCCCCCGAGAGCAGGGCACAAGCCGGGGCAAAACCGGCAGTGACTATTCTACGAGTCCTCCGCTGTGACCCGCGGCCACAGCCAGCCGGGGACCTGGAAGGCAGCGGGACACCCCTACGGCTCACAGCAGACACTTCGGCCTGCTTCTCGGTGTCCTTCACATCAGACCCAGGGAGCCTGCTGGGGACACGGAGTCTGCCCCCCTTTGTGTCCGTGGCCACCGCGGGTTTCTCAGCGACGTCTCGGCCACAGGCCTGTGACCGACCGGCCTCGGTGCCGGGCTCTCTAGCTGCTGAAGGAAAGGTCTGCCCACTTCTGTGTGTCCACTACTGAACTCCCCTCCGCTCCCGTCCCGTGACCCTGAGCTAGAACCTGACGCACCAGACACGTGGGGACTCGGTGTCAGCAACCCCCCAACAGGGGACAAGTGAAAAGGCCTGAAACAGCTCCCAGCATCTCCTCCAAAGTGGGCTTGAACCCTGCAGAGCGGTTTCTTCTCCCTCCCGCACTGACTGGAAGAGGCCAAGTGTCCCGTGAATGTGTCCCCCGTCCTCGGTCGGTCATTGGCCTGACCAGCCCCGGGACCAACACCAGACAACAGACCCCAGTGGACGCCCCGGGAAGGGACCAACAGCTGCCTCTACGCGGCTGGGCGGTGCCTGAGTCACGCAGCCCGTCCCCGGGGGCATGAAGGTGGTCTCGGATTCAGAACCAGAACATGAAACACAACAGTTACCAGAGGCAGCGGGACGAGCAGGACGTGGCTGGGGTGCCCCGTCCCCCCGATGAGGGACTCGCCCCCACTTCCAGGTCCCGGCAGAGCACCCGGGTCCCAGGGTCCTGCTGTCTGTCTGTCTGTCCTTACCTTGCCTTCCATTATGGTCACCACGTCAGGCAAACCGCCGATCACCTTCCCACGGTCTGCAACACGGAAGGGGGTCAGCTGAGGGCAGCCTCCAGGAGGAGACGCCCCTGCAGGCCCCCGATGGGCCCACACCTGGCTCCGGGGGAGGGGCGGTCTGCGACGGGGAGGGGGTGAGCGGTGCTCTGCAGACAGGAAGGCACACCCCCGGCCCACGAGGATTCGGTCGGGAAGTGGAGGGGTGCGGTGTGGACAGTGGGTGAGCGAGGCGGCGCAGTGCCCGGACAGACACCTTTCATCTCCTGCCCACCCTGCACGGCTCCGGAACCACCCCCACCCCGGGGCCTCCCAGCACCGCCTGGCACGGCTCAGGCCCCACGCATGTGTCGGACACGCTCTGGTCCCGGCCTCTCCTGTGAGTCCTCCTAGGGCTCTACCCGACCGGCCATCGCGTCCACCAACACGGAGCGGGTGGGCGAGTGCAGGAGGGACAGAGGCAGCAGAGGGGTGGCCTCAGAGGACAGGTGCGGAGGGTGCCCGACAGGTGAGACCGTCTGTGGTTAGCGTCCGACACACACACACACACTCAATCCTCCGAACCGCCCCTCTCCGCACAAGGGGCACCGGGCACTTACTCTTCTCTGCAAAAGCAGCCGCCCTGGAAGCGCGAGGGGCAGATGGGAGAGAACAGAGGAGTCGTGAGAAAAACGCACGGACACCCCGCACCGCGCACCCCGCACCGCGCACCCCGCACCGCGCACCCCGCACCCCGCAGGGGAGAGGCTGGGCGAGAGGCGGCGGGGGAGCGGAGCCCCTGCCTTCTCCCTGGAGGACCCGCTGGCCGGCTGGACTCTCGTTCCAGGGACGACCTGCATTCCCCAGTCCCCACTGCCCGGTTTGGGAGGAGACACCGTCTTTCAGCTGATGACACCCACAGAGAGGCTCAGCGTTCAGACTCAGGGGCTGGAGCGATTTTCTTTCTCACTGACTTCACCGGACTGCACTCGAGAGCTCTAGACACGTCTGAAAATGCGGTTCCTGATTTAGCCCTCATTCGTTCTCTGCACATTCACTGGATGACGCCGTGCGGGCCCGCGATTGTTGTTTCGGACGCTCCAAAATTCAGACACACACTTAAAAAGCCGAAGCTATTTTTTTAAAGCTGCTCTGAATGATGGAATATTACTCAGCACTGAGAACAGTTGTGCTCTCGAGCCGGGAAGAGACGTGGGGGAACCTGACATGCATGTGACCGAGTGAAGGAGCCAGTGTTCCTGAAAAGGCCACACGCTGTGTGAGTCCAAGCCTGTGAGAAGGCGAGACTGTGGGGATGGTGACAGGTCAGGGGTTGCCAGGGGCTGGGGGGAGATGAATAAATGGAGCCCAGAGGGTCTGGGGCAGCGAGTCTGCTCTGTGAGATGCTGTAATGATGGACACGTGTCATCATGCGTTTGTCCAAATCCACAGAATGTACAGCACCCAGAGTGACCCAGACGTCACCTGTGGACTCTGGTGCTGCTGACGTGTCAGCACAGGTTTGTCCGTTGTGACTGCCCCGTCGGGTGGGGGTGCAGATGGAGGGGAGGCTGTGCGTGGAAGTGGGAAGGGGGGAGTCAAGGGGTTTGTGGAGAATCTCTGTACCTTCCTCTCAGTTTCGCTCTAAAACTAAAAATGCTCTTAAAGAATAAAATCTTAAATAGAACCTAAATATGTAACTTAAAAAAAATTGCTCTTCATGAGGTGTTGCCATAATCATGACTTTCTCAGAAATTCGTCATTTTAACCACCTAAACCCACACGGGTTACCAGGACTCTAGAGAGTCAACTAACAGACACATTCACGGTCCACACGAAAGGCCGCCCTCCTGCGCCGTGGTCCCCACTGTGGTCCCCGTGCCCAGGGAAGGACACGCCCCGGGCCGCCCGGGCGCCCGAGAAGTCCCCGCACTCAGCCCAAACAACCGGAGGGGACGGGAGCGCCCCACGCGGGACGCCCGCGCAGCCCGCGCACTCACTTGAGCTGCTGGAACTCCGCGAAGGCCTCCTCGAAGGCTGAAAGGAAACAGTCGGAGTGAGGCTCGCAGCGGGGCCGCGCTCACCCCCAGCTCCGGGGCTCCGCTCCCCGATCTGCCTAACGCAGCCGGACACACGAGGGAGCTGACGTCCGCCGGTCACTTCTCCCAGGGAAACCACGGCGCCCACCGCCTCCCTCCCCGCATCGCGAGCGGCCCCCAGAGGCCCGGCTCCTGGACGCTGGGCGGCGGCCCGCACCTTGACCAGACAGGTCCAGGGAGCGCTGGTGGTTGTCCTTGCCGTCGAAGATCTCGAAGGTGTACCTCCCCTGGTCCTTCTCCGAGGGCTCGCACAGCTGCAGCCAGGCCGTGTCCTCGCTGCCCCCGATGCGCATGCGCTCGCTGGACGAGATCTTGGCGTCTCTGAAAGCGGACGGGGCAGGGGGCGCAGCCGGCGTTGGCGTTCGGAGCCTCGGCTGTGCGCCAGGCGCTGCCGGGCCGCGCTGGGCTTTGGGGCTGGGGCTGGGGCGCCTTGTCTGACCGCAGCCACCGGGAAACCTCCCAAATTCTGAGACGATACCAGGTTTTTAAAGACCCGCTGTTTTCTAACAGGGGCACGCTGGCCACAGCGCGGTGGATTTTAAAATACTCTGTGCCCTGTGGCACTAATTTCTTAATCGTATGTGATCCAGCAGCCGCAGTCCTGGCTGTGAACCCGGCAAGACGTAGAAGCAGGGACTGCACACAGCTGCACTACGCACAGCAGCCAGCAGGGGGAAGCATCGCTCAGGCCCACGGGGGACTGACTGGTAAACAGAAGTGGTTCATCCCTTCACTCAGCCTTAAAAAGGGCGGCCCAGCAAGGACGCTCACAGTGGCCTGGGGTCAGCAGGGCTGTCCCCTGAATTCCCTCAGTGCTCCCCACTGCAGCCTGTTCCACAGATGTGACCCACTAAGGACCCATGCACTGCAGGATGAGGGCAGGCGTCTCTGGCATTGGCCACCCCACTCAGCTCCACGCTGAGACCTCAGGGGACCCCCGCAGCGAGAGTTTCAGCATGGACATCCCACGGGCGGCGGAGGGGGGCAACGAACGGGAAACAGAACCTGCTGTGCGTGCAGACCTCCCCCGCTGGCTGCCTGCCTCCCCCCACGAGCGTCCCGGGCTAACTCTGGTCCTGTCCTCGGTAACCCAGTCCACCGGGAGGCCACAGCCCCGGCGTTTGGAGCGTGGCCTCCAAAGTGTGTTCTGGGGATGGGCTGTCCACTGAGTTCCAGACACAGGGTATTGTCACTGGGGAGTCACCCGTGTCCCCAAGAAGACACCGAGGAAGTCGGTCCCCGTCCCCCCTGCCCCACCCTCCCCGGCCAGAGCACTCGTTTCCGGGGGGGATGGAGCCCGCAGGCCCTGGGCCCTGCTCACTTGTGGTACCAGTTCACGCGCATCTCCTCGGTGAAGTACTTCAGGAAGCACTGCAGTCTGATGCCCTCCGGTGTGCACAGCACCTTCAGGGGGGAGGCCGACATGCCTGCGGGGAGCGGCCACACTAAGCTCCAGGACCACCGCCGGCACAGGCGCCCCGGCTCCCTGCCGCGATCGCGCGCCCCAGGCCCGTGCATTCCCAAGTCACATTCGCTCACTCAACAAGCAGGGCCACCAGAATGATCTGGAAAACCCTGCTGAACGCGGTCAGAGTGCGGCCAGAGGAGACTCCCCGATACTGGAAAAGCCAGTCTGTGCCCGCAGCTGTGGGCGGTGCGGGTTCTGGTGACCCCGCATGCGCTTTGTAGCCCACGGGGCAGAGCTTCACGCCAAGGTCCCGGGCCCAGGGCCTCGTCCCCCACGCTGTCCGTCCTGCGGCAGTGGACACAGTCGGGCAGAGGAAAACGTTCACGGTGGAAGAGGGAAGCGTGAGTGGTAACGGCTTAGGAACAGGTGCTGCGTGGCTGGGAGTCAGTTCCTGCCTCTGTCGGTCGGGAGGCGAGACTCCTGCCCAGGGCCCAGGAGGGGCTGTCAACCTGCTGGGAATCCACCAAGTGACCGAGGACACACTGGGCCTCTCTCGGCAACATGCCCTGTCCTCAGGGCACTCAGTGGGGTCCCCTCAAAGGCTCTGCAGAAACCGGTGCACCCCCATCCAGCCCCGTGCTCCTCGCCAGCTCTGGCTCAGGGGGACGCCACGCACGACCCGGCTCCTGGAGCCCGATTCTCCCTCACACGTCGGCGTGGTGAGTGCAGAAACGTAAAGGGCACGTTCACGCCCCCGGGATGTGCAATGTGTGAGCCAGTCTGTGAGACACGTGCCATCTAACGCTGAAAAGCCCTCGACAAAACCACCACTTAGGCCGGCAGGTGGCAGCTCTGCCACGTCATCGGGACCCTTGGGGGCAGCACCTGGAGCCCAGCGACCCCCTGCCATGGCCGACACCCACCAGTCCCCCGAATTAAGGGAGTGAGCCCCCGAGGGGACTTCAAAACCAGCAGGCGTTACTCACCACAGACTCTGCTCATCGCCAGGATCATGTCCTCGTACACTGGGGGAGGAAGCAGACGCAGCGTCAGTGAGAGAGCTCCCATCGAAAGCTGCCTTTTCACGTGGACTAACCCGACACGGGACACCCTGGTGTGCGTTCAGAAGGTGAAACACTAACACGCAGATTCCTCCACAACCGGCTGACGGGTGCGACGAACCCGCCCACCGCCCGCTGTTTAATGAGGAGCAAGCGAGTTTCACGCGACACAAACCCAGCTGTGTCGCTGAGTCCCCCTGTCTCGGCCTCGGTCACACCCACTGCATCAGAAATGGGACGAAACAGGGCCTGTGATGATGGGCTACAATGACGTCTCACGGACACCCAAACCGATAGCTCCCGTTTTTCTGAAACGCTGAGAGAGCTCTGAATGTGCCCAGCCTACCAATCTCTTCCTTTTGCTGCCCACAAGGTGGGCGAGCTACAGCCCAGGATGCGCCGGAAGGCGCCGCAAAACATGCCTGCCCCGTCAATGAAATGTCACTTCTCGGCAGCACAGGGAAGTTTCCACTTACCTTTGCCGGATATTTCAAGGACAGACACATCTTGACCTCTGTCATCTTTCAAGGTGGCCTTGTACTCGCCATGGTCCTTCTTGGACATCTACAAAGGAAGCGCACCCCGTGTGTGAGTAAAATGTGATACACGCCTTCTTTGCAGACCGCGGACATTCGGGGTGCAAACTGGGAGGCCATGCAGGCCCGAGGTGCCCCGGGTTGGTGTGTGTGGCGTGGCGTGGCTTGGCGTGGTGTACCTTGGGGATGAGCAGCTCACAGACGCCCTTCTCCAGGTCGGGCAAGCTCTCAGTCTCGTACAGAACATCGTCCTTGAGCCACTTGAAAACGGTCTCTTTCTTGGTGTTTGCGACCTGGAGGACAGAAGCCTTACATTTGGTATGGGGATCGCCTGGCACATAAGGAAAAAAGTCTCTTCTGGTGTTAAATCACAGCCCTTAAAAAGAACCGATTTTTATTAGACACACTCAGAGGCTCCCAGAAAAACCGCCGGTCATAACGATGGCAAATAGTTTTATAAGTTCCAGCATCTAAAATAATTCAGCTCTTACACACGCGCAAGGAAGGAACTCTGCACTGTGCCAGCCCATGGAATCGGGCAGGGCGTCTGGTTCATGTGGAATGTCGGTGATACAAACAAGTTCTGAGCAACATTATTTTCGAATATTCTACTGACTGTCTATGCTACTTATCCTCTGAACATTTCCCCCCTCTCTCCCCCTCCCACTCCCCTGTTGCTGTCCCTCCATGTGATCTCCATTTCTGTGGTTCTGTTCCTGTTCTAGTTGTTTGCTTAGTTTGTTTTTGTTTTAGGGGTGGTTGTTAATAATTGTGAGTTTGCCGTCATTTTACTATACATGTTTTTTATCTTATTTTTCTTAGATAAGTCCCTTTAACATTTCATGTAATAAGGGCTTGGTGATGATGAACTCCTTTAACTTGACCTTATCTAGGAAGCACTTTTGAAGAGGGGGAATGGGACACCTATAATAACATAATCAATAAAATATATTTTAAATTTTTTAAAAGAATTTAAGCAATGTAAAATATACTTAGGGGTCTGTGACAGGGTTGGTGGCTGCTTTTTGGCGGTGTGACATTTCAGATCTGTCTACATGGAAGCAAAGACACCTTCTCCCGAGATAAGCCCAGTGGGGCTGAGAGCCTCCCTTCCCTGGAATCTCTGACCTCAGCTTGAACTTGAACTGAGCTTCACAGAACTCCAAAGGCAGGCGGCCTCTCAGGTTCCGCACCCTGAGGCACACGCCCGACGGAAGAGAGAAAATTCTGGTTCCGTAGGATCGAACGGTACTGACCACACTGGCCTCTGCGGACTGACGACCCTGCAGTCCCACCCACGTGGACTCAACACCGAGAGGGCAAGAGCACACGCAGACACCCGGGCAGGTTTCCTTGTGGCTCTGCCGTGTGTGCAGGCAGGGACAGCAGGGACACGGGCCCCAGGACAGGCGGGATTCTGTGTGTCTTACACCTGTGCCCCAGGCGTGGCCACGCGCTGGACGGAGGAGGGGAGGTAGAGCCCACAGTGTGCGGGAATCCGTGCAGGTGGGTCCCCACTGGCCTGGGGGGGAGTTGGATGGATGGTCCTTCGAACGTCAGAACTACAGTTGGTAACAATTTGATAATAAACTGCAGGATGGGCTGTCGCCAAACAGGTCCAGCCGGCGAGGCCTTGAGCCCGACATTTCAAAACCCTCCCCCAGTCCGTTTTACGGCAACCCAGCCCCCACCTGTGCCCGGTCATAACTCGGCACCGAGTGTTCCCAGGCACCAGGAAAACGCCGTTCCAGTGGCCTTCACGTCCGTTCTCTGGAACAGGTGTCCTCGGTTAACCTGCCTGTCCTGTAGCTGGGTCCCCATGCCCCTGAACAAGGCACCTGTCTCTTCTGCAACCCTCAGTGATTCCTGCTACCACCCTTCACCTGTGGTCCGCTGGCATGGACAGCGGCGTGCAGGGAAGGGGAAGCAAGCTGGCCGCGGGGACACCGTGAGGCACACGCCTGCCCCGAACGTTCCAAAGGCACCGTCCCCCACGCCCCACGTGAGCTGACTGGGGGACCCCACCAGGCCTCCTCTGTTTACAAAGTCCCTGCCCTGCCCTGTGCCTTTGAAATGGTTTTCTGTGCGCTCACAAGAACACGCACTCACATAAATTCTTCCCCATGGGTTTGACACACATAAACTCAAAAAATGGCCACCTGTCAAAGTGTTACAGGCGAAAACTAGGCAGAAAGAGGCTCACGGAATCCCGGGGGGGCAGGGGCACAGGTAATCAACCGCACTCCACTGCAAAATACTCAGAGTGCACGTCGTATTTACCGGTTCCCCCACTGTCCTGTTTACAGAGTTGGAAGGCACTGCAGTGAGGGAAGGCAGGGTGCTGTCGGACGTCCCTGGGAGGGCCGCCCCCAGTGCTGTCCACCGGACGCTGTCCTTCCCCGGGACGGCCCCACGGCAGGTGCCCCCGAACCAAAGCTTCCCCCCGTGCAGACTGAGAGGCAGTGGTCAGCAAGCGCCTGTCTTGCTGCATCCTTACAACCAAACCAGAGAAGCCTCTTCTCCCCCAAACACACATTTACTTCCCGATGAAGCCGCAGGAGCAGCCTGGACGTGGCCACACTTCCTCACGGCTCCCTCATAAATTTGCTCACCGACATCTTAAGTAACTATTTTTACGAACTGCCCACCTGGGTCTGCACGCCGCGGTCATCTGTCCCGGGGAACCAAGACGAGACTGAAAGTCTGGGAACGAACACGTCCCCGGGACCCATCCACCCGTGCCGCACCCAACACCATGCCCCATCCACCCGTGCCGCACCCAACACCATGCCCCATCCCCAGGCCGCTGCGGGCCTCTCGGGGCACACGGAGAGAGTGCACCGCCCCCTCCTCTCGCTGGACCCGCCTCTGACCTTGCACACCAGTCGGACTTCGCACTCCTCCGTGACGTCCCAGTGCAGGTACTCGGAAAAGTGAGGGCCTGTCGGGGGCGTGTGAAGAAGTGAGATGGAACAGTATATGTTAGACACGTGAACACGTGCATTCATGCTATGTGCATGTGTGCACACAGATGTGTATACACGCGTGCACTGGGTGTGGGTGTGTCTGTACACGTGTGCATGTACACATGTATGGACTTGTGTGTGTGTTGGGTGAAAGGAAACAGCTGTCCTGTGGGAACCGAGACAGCAGGTTTCAGGATGAAACCCACTCGCGTGTGGCCCTGACGCTGCTTGAAACCCGCGTCCCCGGGTGCGGCCCCACCGGCCGGTCCGCCTCCTGCCACGTCCCACCTCCGTGCCCTTGGAAGGAGGGGCCGTGCTCCCCCCACAAGGCTCGGCAGCCGTGTAAACATGTGACATTTAGAATCAAATGCAGCTTTACCCGCAGTTCTTTAAAATACCAGCAAGTGCAGAGGTAAATCATGTACTGGTAGCACCGTCGTGAGCTCATTCAACACAAAAATACAAGGCGGATTTTAAAGTACTTATTATTCCTTTCACATAAATGTATTCTATAAAGTTAACAAATTCCTAATGTAGAAATGAGTGAAGTAAAATATCTTTGACGACTAACAATAAAAATAACTATGAACAACAAGAGTAAGAAGAATGTCTTGAGGTTATATTTTATAATCCCCATTCTAATTATTTCAAAGGCACAGAAATCCAATATTTAAAAAATCTCATAGAAAAATAAGCCCTTGGGCTACTTTTTCAGGCTCTGCAATCGATCCATTTTTTTCCCATCTAGTGAGGGTGCGTTTTAAAACACCATGTATTTAAAATGCACTGTTTGCAGTCAAACAGCTAAACTATTTAAAGTTAACGCGTTCCCAGGATCCTGAGTAAAACAGCAAGCTCCTGGCAACAGGAACAACATCCACGGCCTCTTCCCCGTTGCACAGCCTGTCAGCGACCCCGGCCACCGGCCGCTGCCCCTCCCCTTTGTTGTCAAAGTGCTGGACCTGCCTGAGGCCCCGCCCTCCTCCCTACCCTGTTGTAAGTAAGGTCGGCTCCTCCCAAGTTCATGGGTAAGAACTGAGCTCTGCCTACAGGAGGTGTTTTATAGATGCTGCCAGAGGCCCAGGGGCTCAAAGTCAAAACGGATGTAAGGTGAGCCAGGGGGCCGGGGCATGGAGGCCACGGGATCACCCACCCTGAGCTGTGGCTCCTCCAGAACCGGGCAGCCAGGCACCAAGGGAGACACCATCCACTCGGTGGGAGGAGAATCTCCCTTCTCCAACAGACGGACACACAGACACACAGACACTAAAGCGTTTTGCACAGAGGACTGCCTACCAGAAGTGAGTGCTGGGGAGCTAATCTTCCCCTGGCGTGGGTGAGAGACTAGTTAGTCAGTTACTTAGTCAGCAAGTCGGCCACCGAGCCTGGCCACCCAGCCTGGCCACGCCAGGGGCAGTTTCCTCGGCCGGGGCAGTTACGGCCAACGGGACGCTAAACACTACATTCTGGGGCTTTAGAGGTGGGAACGAGGTAAACAACCGGGTGAGATGAAGGAGCAGGGTGGAGAGCAGAAAGGCCCCCCGGCATCTGGAGGCCGGAAGCGGTGGGACTGCTGGACCGGGAAAGCGGCGTTCAGGCCTCGGGGGCTTTAAACACACGCCCACGTCCCCAGTCTCAGCTTCGTGCGTCCGGGTGGCAGGCAAGTCACACACCTACCTTGCTTCCTGAGAAATTCTTTTCGTTGGAATTCAGCCTCTTCTAGGATGGCCTTGAAAGCTAAATTCAACGTTTAAGGGGGAAGAGAGACAGGAAACGCTCTGGCGCCTCTGGTCAGCAGAGCCCCCGGGAGCCCCCCTCCCCCCGGGAGGACGCGCGGTCGCGCCTACCGTCCCCAATGAGCACCAGCGAGGACTGGCTCTTGGCCTTGCCGTCCTGGATCTGCACCGTGTAGGTGCCCTCGTCGTCCACGGTGAACTTGTCCATCACCATCTCGATGACGCCGGTGGACTTGTCGCACTTCATCCTGTGGGCCTGGGGGCCGGGAGGGGACAGTCCCGCAGTGAGGCCCCGTCCTGCAGCTCCGCTCTCGCACGGAGCCGCTGCATTGCCTGGGGCCTTACGGGATTGTGCCCACGAGGACCCAGGGGCAGCTCCGCCCTCTACCCCCCACCCCGGCCGGCCAAACACCAAGCAGGGGACACCCATGCACACGTGGAGAGAAGCCCCGGTCGGGGGTCTGCCAGCAGTGGGGGTGGGGGCACGGCACCAGGGCTCCGGCACAGCGAGACTCGCACCCCGGACACGCAGCTAACCCGAGACAACAGAGCCGTGTGCACCCACATCCACACTGTGGTGGCTGCCACAGCGGCACTGTCCCCGGCTCCTGAGGCCTCTAGCGCTGCCACTGACCGGGTGCGGGGGCCCCGAGGGAGGGAGCAGCGGTGTAGAGGACAGGCTGCAGGAGGGCTGGAGCGTCTCCACACTCAACGCTTCTCGTGTCCCTGAGCCCCAGCACACGGACCCCCGCCTGGCACCTGACGCCGGTGGCTTCACCGGAACACCAGCCCTGTGCCCCCAGGGTGAGCTCGGGGGACACTCCTGGACTCCATCTTGGATCTCAGTAAGGCACGTGCCCCCCCCCCCGCCTCCCCCTCGCAGGACTCTGGGTCCGTTCATCTTCTCGCTTCCTGCCTGTGTCACCGGAGGATGCGTCCCTGAGAACTGGGACCCCCCACCCCCGTTGCTGGCAAACCCCCGACCGGGGCTTCTCTTCACGTGTGCATGGGTGTCCCCTGCTTGTTGCCCGTGCAGATCGGCTCATTGACCATCTAGGGCGCCAGGTTGGCCGGGTCCCCAGAGGCTGCTGAGTGAGGTCGGGCCAGCTCTCACCGTCCTTCCCACCGTGCCCTCCCAGGCACCCTCAGCAGCCACCAGCTCCTGCGGCGTCCACGGCCCAGTCACTGCCACCAGCTCTGGGCAGGTGCAGACAGCGGGGTGCCTGTGCCCCGCCGTGCCCCGGTTCTCCCTCCTCGGGCGTGCTCCCAGAGCCAGCTCCCTTGAAATCCCTCCTAACGACGCCGGCGTCTCCAAATCTCAGCCCCCCCTGGATTCGGACAGTGTGCCCTGCACCGACTCAGCGCTCTTGCAGTTCCACATTTTCCTGTATTGTCCCCTAACTGAACCTGCGTTTCTTCAACTCAAAGGATAATGTCCACGAGTCTGTGTTTACATCTCCCTTTGCCCGATGGACAATCGGGACCTGTCTGCAGGATAAAGGCCGACACCCACCGGGAAAGGAAGACAGGGCCCCGAGTCCCCGGGGGCCAGCTGGGAGCCCCAGGTTCTGTTTACTCAAAGACGGCTTTCGGGATTTCAGTGGGTCAAGGCCCAGCCCCCGCCCCAGGCCTGGACCCCCAGCAAACACAGAAACGCCACCTGCCCAGTTGGAAATGCCAGTGCCATTCCCCACGTGCCGAACACCTCCCCTTCCTTCACCCTGCCGACCTCCCACACCCACCTTCCGCGGGGCAGATGGGGACCAGAACACACTCGGTGTCGAGTGTAAGTGAGCGGCTGCCACGGCAAAGCCAAGGACGTGCTCCACAGAGCTGAGTGCCCCCCACACCCAGGAACTCACCTCGCCATCCGAGACCTCCTTGTCGTTGATGACGAATCGGTAGCTGGCGTCTGGGGACAAGTGCTCCGCCTGCAGCCAGAAGCGAACTTGGCCGTGGTCAAACACCTCGTACGCTAACTCCGACTTCAGGGGGATGGCTGTGGGGAAGGGGGTGCAGGTCAGCAGGTGGGAGCCCCGAGGGACAGGACCGGGGCGCTGTGGGAAACATCCACGCTGGTTATTATGAACCCCCCAAAAGACAAAGCCCAGCAGGCCTGTTGAGTCTGCAGCCCGTGCTGGGGGAGCTGGGTGTGCACGCCCAGCTTTCTCCCTGGGTCCAGTTTGATTCCGCAACGGGGGGTCCCATTTGATGAGCAGGCACACTGAACCCCAAACTCAGAACACTCCCCAGGCAATGAAAATGTCTGCAAGCACTTGCTTTACGTGGACAGGGGCCAAGCCTGGGGGCCGGACCGGAAACCGGACCCCTCCCCTGCGGCCCAGCGACCTCCGCACAGGGCCGGGCCACCTGCCTGGTGCCATCACGATGCCCAGCCCCGGCCCACTTACTGGGATTTTTGATCTCGTTGCTCAGGGCCATCAAACGTTCCAACTCTGAAAGGAAGAAACACGTGTCCACTGAGTTTCCCGGGCACACGCAGAAGCTCACAAACAGTCCTGGGGCCCACGTCCCCAGAGACACACATCACGGAGCTGAACTGCGGATGTGAGAGAAACTCCCACCAGAAGGGAGAGGGGACGGGGGCGACTTTGACCTGCGAGCACCGTCTACGGTCTCCAGGGAACTAGAGAGTCGCCCCCCCTCACAGTGGGAAGCGTTAGGGCAGAGGCCTCAGGTGGAAGGGCAGGTGGACTCCCGGGAGGGGACGTCTGCTTCCAGACTCCAAACCCCCCGGGGCCTCCTTCCCTGAGTGAGGACACGCTGGTGGCCCGGGGCTGCCGCCCCTTCAGAACCTCCTTCTTCCACGTCTCTGTCACCCTGGTGGGTTAGCACGGGAAGAACCAATCCCACAGCGGGACGCGTTGCTCCTGAGAGAGTCCCGAGAGCAGACCCACAAAAATGGAAGGTTCTAAGCCTTCTCTTCATTTCTTCCCTTTTCCTTCCTTCCTCCCCATCATCAAAATTTGGAATTCAGAGAGCGGTCACAAAGCTGTGTGCGAACATGTTTGTCTGAACCGAGAAACGAAGCCAGGCTTTTCCTGACAGAACGTGACCTCCGTCCGGGTGGCAGTCGGGTGGTGGACACGGACCCTCCCCTTCAGGCCCGTTGGTCGGACCTTCTGTAAACCCAGTGGGCTCCTGCTGAGGGTGCAAAGGGTGCCTGAAATATGTTAAGGTCCTTCACATCCACATTCAACATAAAATATGTGGAACGTTCATCCTTCACAACAACTTAGAGTTAAAGCGAAGAGTCTGCAACCTTTACAGGGTGCGGAAGAGTGCGCCGATCTTAAGAATTATTTAAGGATGTTTGAGGGTACAAAACTCCATGAAGACCACACGGTAGGGTCAGAAGAGGCAGCCTGGAGAGCAGGACTCAGGGCCAGCCCCCCGCGGACCCCAGGAAGGAGAGAGAACGGGCCCCGTTCCTGCCCTGCTGGGTCTTATTCCATTTGCAGGAGCTGACCAACCTCACCCTGCCTCTGACAGGCAGACAGGCAGGTGCCCACAGCCGTCCCCACGCTGTGTCCCCACCTCTCCGGACGTCGGCCTGTGCCCTCCCGCCGGCACCCAGCCGGGGTCACTTTCCTGGGACCACGCCCCCAGCACGCCGCCCACTGAGTGCCCACCACCAAGGAGGGTCTGCGTCCCCAGCTGAGGCATCTGAGAGGTCACACACCTCAGCTGAGGACTGGGGGACTTGGACGCTGTTTAAGACCCCAAACGCGGGCATTTGAGGGTTCCGTGCAGTGCTGCACAGTCCGCCACACCTCCCAGCCCGACATGTAAAGAACGGGAAGGGGCCCCACGTGCAGAAGGGGCGGGGCGCGCGCAGGAGCCTCCGAGTCTCGGGGAGGAACCCATGAGGAGCCACTGCCGGCTCCTGGGCCCGGTGAGGACCGCCCCCTGCCGTCTTCTCTTCGTGGGGCCAGGTCGTGAGGACAACAGTCAGAAGCTACTTCACACACACAACTAGACGCAAACACCCGGACCGTGTCTGTCACCCCGACTGCCCAACACTGGGAGGGAACACGGGCCACTCTTTCTCTCCCGCGTCTGGCCCATTAACTTCACGGCTTATCGGCTAACACGCCCCGCCCCGCCCGCCACACTGCCCACACGGCTGCGGCTCCCGCTGTGGAAGCCGTGTGCGAGCCGCGTCCCGGAAGGAGGGTGCACAGCAGGGTCTGCGTGGTTTCTGAGGCGGTCTTCCGTGTGCACGCACCGCCCCCGCCCCCCACGAACTCGCGCCCCTTCTCCAGGCAGATGAGCCCTCGGGGCCGACCTCAGAAAGCCTGCCTGCATCCCAAACCCACCAGGTTACCTTCCTCGTCCAGGACGAAGCTGGAGGACACGCCGTCCGTGTCACTGACCGACACCGAGTACGTCCCCAAGTCCCCTTTGTCCGGATTCTTAAAGTACAGCTTCGAGCTGGAGGAGGACGGAGGGGTGTTAACGGTTCGTGTCTGTCCGCGATTCTAAGGGGCCACAGCTGCCCGCTGCCCACTGCCCGGCGGGACTTACTGCTCCCCGACCGTCTCGACCTCAAACCGCGGGTCGCCCGTGATGTCCTCGTAGGACTTGCACCACGTGAACTGCGAGGCGTCCGTCACGTCCGGGCAGTCGAAACTGAGGTAGATATTGCCCTGCTCGTCCACACCGGCGCCGACCTCCTTCGTGCCTGCGGCGCGAGAACACGAGTGAGCCCGAGAGCCCGAGAGACGCGCACCCTGGAGGCGCTTCTCCCCGAGGGGGGCCCGGGCCCAGGGGTGGCTCAGGGAATCTCCAGCTTCACCTGCCGTCCCCCTCGGATGTTTGGGGACTCGTGGGGCAGCCGACCACCCCCGCAGCCCACGGGGGGCAGAGGGCTCAGGCTGTGTCCGTGTTGAGTCGGCCCCCCGCACTGGGATCGCTGCTCCACTGCCCCCAGCGAAGACCTCGCCACCACCCGCACACGGGGACCCGCCCTGCCCTGTGGGGGCCCCGGGGACCTGCCATCTCCCTGCCGACCCAACAGCTCTGAGCACCCAGTGGGCTGTTCACACGCCCGGACCCCGGCCGCCCCCCAACTCACCGGGCCTGGTCTCCAGGACCACCGGCTCGGACGAGTCTGACGGCGTCCCCACGCCGCTGGTGTTCACGGCCCGCACGCGGAAGACGTAGCTCTGCCCGTGGTGCAGGTCACACACCTGGGGTGGGGGAGGGGACGTCACACGGGTGCGCGCGAGAAGGCTGTTTCTCACGCTTTACAACGAACACGCTTCCTTTCTGTGAACAGGACACGCCCTCCTCCGGCCGGAATTGCCGCGTGTGCCTCGCTGGAACAGGTGCCCGCTCGGACCTGGCTGGGCAGGAACAAAGGGACCTGCGCGGCTCTGACACACCCCCGTCTCTCTTCTCTGCGCGTCTGGGAGCAGCACTAGAGCGGGACCCTCCCGCCCCGACCCGGGGTGTCTGGGGTGCGGAAGCAGTGGGCGTCCCTCCACGGGTAACACGCAGTCGTCTCAAAAGTGCCCCCGACTGTGCCAAATGGCCCATCGTTGGCACACATCGAAATCCGATCGAGGCCCCTCGCCCCCGAGCTGACAGTGCTGCTGTATCCACGTCGACGACCGGGAATAGAACACGCGTTCGATACACTCCTAACGCGTTTGTCCAGCGGCACCCTCAGCAGCGGGTTTACTCAGTCAGGGAAAACTGGTCTTGTTTCCCGGGAGGCGGCTGCCCCCTCACTCCGGGCACCAGGGCCCCGGCCGGACATGGCCTGGCTCTGCAGGGGTGGACACTGGTCACCTAGGTCACAGCCCAGAGGAGGAGGTCTCCACAGGCCACCAGCCAGGGAGACGGGCTCGGGACAGCAGGCGCGCTGGCCCCAGGGACCGGTGCACTCCAGGGCAGAACCAGAGATATTTGGAGGCAGGACAGAGCGACTTCCCTTCGCAGCTCCGTCAGCGGCGGTAACACCGCATGTGGGGCGTGTGCCCACGTGCTGTCAGGTAGCGACCCCGCAGACGGAGTGAACGCACCATGGGGCCTGCACGGAGCCTGCAGGGGACACGCACCACCTGCAGGGGGCGCACGCAGGCCCGCGCCCACCCAGCCAGCTCAGCCCGGTCCAGAACACCCGACCCCGCGTGCTGGGGAGAAACCAGGCATGTGGCCGAGGCCCCCGGCCGCAGCTTGGCGACCCAAGCTCCCCCTCGGGTCTGTGGTGCGGGTCAGCACCCACCTTTAAGTAGCGATTCGCAGTGGCCGCCTCGTTGGCAGTGGTCCACGCCTCGGAACCCTCCTCCTTGTAGTCCACAAAATACCCGGACACGGGCCCACTGCCCGCATACACCGGGGCCTTCCAGAGCAGCACCAGCGACGTGTCCCTGACCTCGCAGAAGGTCAGGTCGTAGGCGGGGCCTGAAACAGGGGCCCGTGTCAGTGCCGTGCACGCAGGGGCCGCCACCTGGCCGGGACGCCTCTCTCCAACACCGGCCCCTGAGCACAGCAACGGGGGCGGGGCACAGTCTGGCCCCACGTCCAGCAGCCCCATTGACAGGCAGCCCAGCGACTGAGGCCCAGGAGCCTGGCCCAGCGGACACTGCAGGCTGCACGGATGCGGGGCGGTCCCCACGGGGGCAAGGAGCATGCGCTGGCCATGTGCCCGAGTGCGGCCCCTCACCCGGTTCCGGCGCTGTCCAGGCCTCACACTTGAAGAGCTCGCTGGGGTCCGAGGGCTGCCCGACGCCCACCAGGTTGGTGGCGGAGATTTTGAATTCGTACGCGGAGCCTTCGGTCAGGCCGTCCACCTGTGGGATTGTGTTTAGCAGGTGAAGTAGAAGCCGGCTCGCGTCCCCCAGGTGGAGGGTGGGTCTGTGGTGGACTTATAGAATGAGGACAGCAGGGAGGGACCTCGTGGGTGAGTGACACCTCACCGGAGGACGTCCCCACCCGCCTGCCATGTGGCAGCCACTCCATGGAGCCTCCGACAGGGGGGACGGGGGTCCCCCGGTGGAGAGGGACATGAACCTCTGGGACGCCCTCCCCGAGGGGACACAGGACACCTGCTTGCTTCGAGGGGACACCTCAAAGCCATCACAGGAGGCTCCCTGTCACCTGTTCCCAGCACAGGTCCCTCCGGGGACGAGGCTGCTCGGCAGCCACCACGGGGCCTGCTCGGCCTGCTCGGCCTGAAGACGAGGCGGGGCTTCACCAGAACCGCCGGCCCTGCCTCCCAGCAGGTGGCCCGTCCGGGAGCCAGAGGGCCCTGCCCACTGCACAGGGACCTAACCTCTCTGTGCCTGCAGGAGGTGACCAGGCCCTTTTCTCGGAGAGCGGGCCTGAGAGGGGACAGCAGGCACTGTGGGTGTCAGGTCACTCATGCCACACTCAGCCTGAGTTTTGGCCACACGTCACACACATGTGTGAAGCGTATGATGGACACAGATACTACCTCCAAATGCCAGAGGAAGCAGCACCCTCTGCCAGACGGAGGTGAGACCTTGCAAGCATCTCCCCCAACGACAGCCCCCGTTCACAGCGTGAGTGACCCCCTGAAGCTGCCGCGTCAGCCCTTGTGGCAGCCGTGAGCCCAGGGCCCTCACCACTTCCTCCCGTGTTTCTACCACGGACCGGGGGGCGGGACCCTGGGGGGCAGACGTCCCTCCTCCCCCACTGCTCACGGGGTGGGGGGGGCGAAGGTTCCGGAAGGCTCGGAGAACTGGGAGGGAAAGCCCCCTGGCTGCTCAGGGTTTGCATCTGGACTGGGTTCCAATCCTTCTTACCCCAAACTGAGGTTCTTTCTACTCCTTTCACCTGGACTTATTTTCACAGGTGACCCACCCGCAGGCTTGAACAACAAGCGTCTCTCAGGAAGGCGGTGGCCACCAAGCAGCAGACACACCTTTGTCACAAGACACCACCAGAGCACAGAGGCGCAGGGTGGAAAGGCCCTGGCTGCCCGGGGCCCAGCGCAGAGGCTGCGCCCGGTCACAGCAGCGCCGTGCCTGCCACATGCTCACCCGCCCACCCTCCTCTTTCCTGCTTCTCAGGAAGAAAAACTTGCTCCCTGAGACCCACCCAGTCCTACAGCCCCGTGACCTCATGAGGCTGTGAATTCCTTACATCCATTTTTGTTTCTGGACTGAATCATCTGAAGTGACCAAACCTCGGGACACTGAAGGAAGGACCCTGCCCGCCATGTGGGGTCACCCAGGCGAACCCCGACACCCACCGTCAGGATGCGCTCTGTGACCGGCATGGTGTTGACCTCGTGCCAGCTCCGGTGCCGGGCCTCGCGCCGGTCCACGAAGTAGCCGAGGATGGGCGAGCCCCCGCTGAACCGCGGCACCTTCCAGCCCAGGGTCATGGAGTGGCCGTCGCAGTTCAGGAGCGTGATCCCGTAGGGGTAGGACGGGACGGCTGGAGGGACACGCAGGTCAGTCTGGGTACCGCCTGTGGCCCGCGCGGCAGCCACCGGGCTCGGCCAGAGCCCTGGGCCTCGGTTCCTCCCTCCCTTCCAACTGTCCGCGTTTCCATCTCCCTTGTTAAGAAAGTCTTACAAACTGTATAAGTTTGCAGCTACTTCTAAGTGACTGTATTTTGCTGGGTATGATGCACTCCTGTGTATAATACCCACCCATGTGTGGGCCCAAACTCACAGGAAGAAAATCTTTTAGTTTTTTAATTCAATTATTTGTTTCTATTTTGATACTTGTTTTTTGCGTGATAAAAGAATTCTATAATTTTTAGTATTATAAAGGCATATACATAAACAAAAGAATTAAAAGCATTCATGGAGATACAGAATCAGCACAGTCCTGTATAACGCACACCCTTACTTTTCCCTCAGAGATTTGGGCAAACAGGCGCTTTATACACACGGCAACTGACAGCGCCTGTCCTGGGCGTTGTCCCTTCAGTAGCACCAGAGCGACGGGGTGTTTGAAAGTGGCCTGGACATCGGAGGCACAAGGCTCCCCCTGCCCTGAGGAAGACCTGGGGGGCTCTCCTGACATTCAAGGGGAATCGAGACCACCCCTCCGACAGTGACACTGTCTAGGCCAGTACGTCCCCCTCCCGCCCGCCGGGTTGAGGACCTCAGATTGATTCTGTGAGGATGAAGCCTCCAGGCTGGGAACTGGGCTACCTCTCCCTGCCGGGTCCCCCCTTCACCCCGACTCTGAGTGACCTGCAGCCGGGTGTCCTTCTTCCCTGAGTTACAGGCACACTGTGATGAGCTCCTCACAGTGCAGCAAAAAACCTAAACAATTGGCTTTCTTCAGAGGAGTGACTCGAACAAGTGGACAGGACTGTTTAGAAGTCCCTCCTGGGAGGACGGAGAGGACGGTGGTGCCCTCAAGACAAAAGGGTGATTGGTTCGTTCTGCTGTCTTCGCCCACCTCAGTCTCATCTAGAATTTCCAGAAATTCTAGAAACGCCCTCATTGGGCAAGAAAACTTAATTGCTAAAAACGATAAATGGGTTTGGAGGCAAAAATAGTCGAGGAGCGAAACATGATTTTCAGAAGTGAAAAGATCATCCTATGACCCTGGACATGCCCTGTAGGACACCCTGTGTCAGAACGTCCCGTCTGCGGGGACGCGTGTGGTGAGTTGGGGCTGCGTTGCTCAGTTCCAGCAAAGTCGAGACGTTTTATGGTGACTTCAGTCGGAGCCACCAGGTCACACGAGCCTGTGGAAGCTGCTGGGACCGTTCGAGACGGTTCCCGGAACCCAGAACAGCTCAAGGTCCCCGAGGCTGCTTGGGAAGGAGCACCCGCGGCCAGAGCAGGTGCGTGAATGTGGGTCCCGAGCTGGGAGACCCAGCTGCCCTCCCGCAGCATCTCCCCTGTGGTAGGCACACGGTCACTCCCCCGCCGGCCCACGCTGGCACATCCGGGACAAGGAGCAACCGGCAAGAAGCTTCCACAGAACCGCACGTCCCCTGTGGGACGGCTGAGCCCTCTCCTCCTCTGACAACCCCAACGGCCCCCCGGGTGTGTGTTCGTGCAGAGGGCACACCCGGGGCCGGTGCCGGGGGGGGGGGGGGGCGGCGCTTACTGAGTGGGGCCTGGACCTTGATGGCGTCGGACTCCTGCGAGTTCTCGCTGGTCCCCACGGCGTTCACAGCTTTCACTCGGAAGATGTACTGCTCTCCGGGCGTCAGGCCGTGCACGACAAACCTGGGGATGCAGGTGCCCGGGTACCGCGGGTGGCCTCCCCCCGCCAGCACAGCCAGGGAAGGGACTTGGCTTGTTGGAGAGCCCGGCACACGCATTGGGCACATCCACTCCCCATTCCTAGTGGGTTCACTGGAAGCAACATGCAGGGGCGGAGAGCAGGGGGCCGAGCCCAGGCCGAGCCGAGGGCCTCGCTCAGGGTCAGAGCCGCCGCCCTGTGCCCCCCTGTGTTCCCGAGAGTCCAGCCTCTGTCTGGACTAAGGGTCGGTCACAGCTGCTGCTGCCCTCCTCACCGCCATGCGAGGCAAACTCAGAGAGAAGCCCTCACACGGTAGGGGCCATGGGCCGGGACGGTGAAGTCAGACTGGGCTCAGGCCTCGACGGCTGACACTGTGCCCATCACCGACGTCACCTCCGTGAAGGACCGTGCCCTGCCTGGGACGGGGCTGCGGGGCCGCCCCCCCCCGCCGCACGCACCCAGCGCCATTGCTCATGGGGGTGCCGGGTGCTGGTGTGATTCATCACTTGAGTGAGGATTTAAAATGTATCATGTCCATCAGTCTCACTCTTCCCACAGCCTGCGGACACCTTGACCGTGGATAATGCCCTCGCACCGCAGCCTTTACAGTGTCCAGTCCCGAGCGGCCCTCCTGCGTGCTGGCTGGAGGGGGACCTGGCTGACGCCCGACCCTCACTGTCCTGAGTCACTTCTCATCTTTCCCCAGTGAAACAGTGGGACCAGGAGCAACGCCGGAGGCACGATGGAGGACCGGTCCCCAGTGGGCGGTCCGGCAGCCACCTCCCTGTCCCCAAGAAGCGCATCCCAGGAAATCCTGGCTCACTCGCGACCTGGGGCTGGGCGGTGGGTGGGGGGGGAGGCAGGCCGCACCTGTTGTAGCCAATGGGCTTGTGGTTGCAGGGCTCCCAGAGGCTGGTCCCGGCCACGCAGCAGTCCACGTAGTAGCCCAGCAGGTCCTCCCCCTGCTTCGGCCTGTCCCACTCCACTACCACGGAGGTCTTCGTGTCCCGAGACACCAGGACCTGGCCCGGCGCAGACGGAGCGACTTTGCGGGGGAGACACAATCATACGTGGTCAGATGTCCGAGTTGTAAAGATGCCTGCAGCTCTTCAAGCCCCTTTTTCCGCAGGGGAGGGCCACCCAGCTTTGGGCCTGGAGACAGGGTTTGGACGAGGAGGCGCAGGACGAGGGTGGATGAACCACCACTGGCCCAGGGGTGCTGGCCAGTCCTCCCTGCCTCCCAAGGCCCCGCCGGACTGCAGACGGGAGGGAGAACAATCCAGAGCTTCCCGCACCCCCACCAGGACCCCTGAAAAAGATCCCCCAGGGACACGCCTGCACGGCTAAGGTTTTGGAGCAGAAAATCACCAATTGTAAGAAAACCACATTTCCCTCATACTTGTCAGACTCCACGAGGGATTCAAGTTCAAATCCTGGTTTGACCATGGACTTCCTCACCCAGCCTTGACAGCTTCAGAGCGGGAACCTCAGCCAGCCAGGTGAGAAACTCTGGCGCACTGAGGGGGTGGGGGCGTTTTTTTAAAGTGACTGCTGCCCGGAAATGTCTCTAACACGTGGCTCAGTCTCCTGAGAAGGAGCTGAAGCCCGGGCGGAACGCTGAGGCCTGACCTGCGGGGCAGAGGCGTCGCGGCCCCTGCGCAGTGGAACCTCAGGCGCCTGCGTTTTAGCGCCTGTGCAGCATTTGTGTCCCGATCGACCCAGGCATGGCTGTCCAGCGCCACCTGGTCCTGGGGCCCGTCCCGAATTCCAGCCACTTGCAGTGACGACTCACCCAAGGTGTCCTGGGCCTGAACAGGGGAGGTGATTTCCGACGGGTCGCTCAGCCCGTGTTTGTTTGCGGACAGAACCCGGAACACGTACGATTTCCCCTCGGCCAGGTCAAAGACGGCGTAGCGCGGGGACCTCACGGCCGTCTGGGCGTTCACCCGCTGCCAGCTGCCGCTCCCGACCACGGACTGTGGAGAGAACCGGGGCCTGAGGGCCTGTTCCCACCGCGAGCGGCCGGGAAGAGCCCGCTCCCGCCAATCAAATGGCGCTGCGGGGGTCCGTCCGGCGCCCCCCACTCTGTGCCGGCCGTGAGTCCGTCCCCAAGTTCATGAAAGGGGAAGCCAATCGGGAGAAAAAGATAAGAAATTATTTAAAGTTGAAAACGCTTGCCAATAAAATTTTCTTTTGAAAGGGAATAATTAAACTGTAGAAAATTTAAGGGAATCGATACACAGGTTGTAGTTTTGGTGCAGAGTGCTGAACGGCAAAGCGGTGAAAGACAGTTTAGGAGAATATCCACAAAATGCCACCACAACCCAGCCGCTCACATGTGGGTTCACAGTAGTCGCTATTTTGCAGCTGTGACAGTGGGAACAGGTGACAGCGATGTTCCCACTATCACAGCAACAGGGTGAGGTGCATCGCGACAGTCATGCATTTAAAAATGGAGCCTTTGAGTCTCTGCGTGACGACCTTCAACAGACTGACAATCGCACCACTTTGTTCAGTGAGACAGAGGATGCAGACTGTGCCTGGGACAGAGACCAAGTCTGTGAACACACTCCGTCTCCTCTTAATAGTGACGATTTTATATCATGGGCCGTTGGTGGTTTTAATTTTATTCTATGTGTCTACATTTTTCAAACGTTCTATACTGCGTGATTAATTTCTGTCCTTGATTACTTTTAAAGTTTCAATTACACGTTTCTTTTTTCCCTATAGGGAGGGAAGAAACGCTTTTGAAAGGAATCCGGAGGCAGTCGAACTTGGGTGCCTGCCACCCTGCTGGGAAGCCCTGTGGACGCATTTCCAACACCCACCCGGGCTTCTGGGGTCCCACTCGTGTTCGAAGGAGGGTTTCCTCCCATTCAGCAGAGGCCACTCTCTCAGAGCTGGCAGGGGGCCCCGTGGGCCCCAGTGTGTTCTCTGGGGAGGGAGGTGACAGCTGGCGGGGGGCTGGGGGACCGGACCCTCAGTTGGAGAAGGGAGGGCAGGGAGGGAGGAGGAGAAAACTTCAAGGGTCTTAGTGCCAAGGTCCCAGGAGCCCAAGGAAGGCTGGAGCCCAAGCACGTCCCTAGCACTTGTCACCCACGCAGGGGCTGCAGGAGAGTGAGGGGGGACCTGCCCGGAGCACAGGACATCGGGACATCTGGGTGGGCGAACCAGGGCTGTGTGTCCAGGGCCACAACACCAGGTGTTTCTTCAGTGTCCAGAACAAAGACAGTCCCACCCTCAGCTGCCTGCAGTGGGAGCCCCTACACAGGGCCGCCGCCCAGCGGCCGTGCAGCTTGGGAACCGAAGGTCAGGGTCACCCCACCCGCCGCGTCCCACAGCCCTCAGGCTCCGGAGCCCAGAGTCCTCAGCGGAAGGGTTAGTGTGACGCCCTCCGTGCAGTGGGGCCTCAGAGCCAGGAGGCAGGGTGTGGGCTCGCTTACTCGGGAAAGGGGGCGCAGAGCCAGAGCCAGGACAGCGCCCGGACACTGGCGTGAGCTCATCTGGTCGTCCACCGGGCAGCCGGTGCCTGCAGCTTCCTTCCTGGAACCTCGGTGACGGGGCGTATGGGGTGGGAGTGCAGGAGCCACTCCTCTGCAAGGGACACCCGGGGGACACGCAGAGGGGACGCGGACAGAGCTGTGGTCTCGGGGCCGGGAGCACTGTACCTTCTCGATGAAGTAGGACAGGGGCTCCTTGCCACGCGGGGACGGGGGGTCCCAGCTGAGGACCACGTAGGTCCTGCTGAGCTCGGAGACGTGCACGTTGGTGGGAGGTCCCGGGACCTGCACGTCGCCTGCAGGGGAACCGGCCGTGTGAGGCTGGGCGGGGCCAGGCCGGCCCTCGGCTCCACCCACCCTGGGGCCCGGCACTGGGCACAAGGCCACTTGGAGGCTCCGCCACGGCCACTTGGGAAGAGGCAGCACGCGGCCCGGCCAAAGATCACCCGGAGGTCCTGAGTGTGACATGAGCCGATTCCCAGGGAAGGGCCACACCCGACATCTGCCAGCTTCTGCCGGAAGTGGGCGGGTGGGGTTCGCCAGGTCGGCTGCCCCGGGCATTTGTTTCTACGCCCTGCGGAACCTGACCCTCTCTGAGGGCCGTCCCCTGCGCTCTCTGTCCTGTGCGTCCTCACGGCTGACACCACACGTCTGCCCCGAGCACGCTGTCCCGGCCCGGCCCACTCCCACACCACTGCCAGCACTGTGGCTCTGCCGCGCGTGTGACAGCCCATGGCGCCGGCGCCAAGCCCACGCTGACGACCACGACTGGACGCTCCCAGTCACGTGTCAGCTGTGCCCCTCTTCTGACCCAGGGCTGTCCTCGCCTCCGGTCAGATGTTGGGGGCGTAGGTGCTGATAAGAGTGCTTTCCACACAAGACAAAGTCCCCCAGACCCACGGCCCCGCCAGCGTGGCGGAAAAGATGACGTGTGCCCTGAGCTTAGCACACGAGTTAAAGGCTGGGGACGTCCCAGGACGCCCCTGGGCCCCTCTGAGACCCCGCTGCCATGGGGTTTCCCTTAGGTGACGGCGCCAAGCTAATTAATTCTTTTCATTTTAAAATTTTCACTCACTCCCCTCAGTGAACTCTGATTACAAGTCCAATAAAAAGCTTCAGATTTCTGACTAATAACGCTAGGTTCTCCTTTTGAATAAGTCACTCTTTCTAAGTATCTCTGGCAGGAATATTAAGAAGTAGTCATGAAATCCGGTAGGAACATTATGTAACAGGTAAGATTCGATCCATTTAGTTAAGCTGTTAGAAATAAAAAGTTTGCATAAATGAATCCCAAATCCTGCCCTAGTGACAAATGTGTGAGAAAGACGCCTGACACCAGCTGGTCACCAGGTGTTGGACTCGCCAGGGTTTGGTTTCTTCTCTACGGTCCCCAAAAGGACGCCAGAATGGACCCCACGAGAAAACAGTGACGCCCACGGCGTGGCCACACCGGGATTCTGGCTCCCACTCCCTCCCTCGGTCCTGCTTTTCTTCCCTTTAACTGCGGGAGACCCTGAACTTGCCCCCTGACCCAAGCCCCTGTTTTCACGTGTAGAGAGCGCCCCTGTCCCGTGGGCCCTGTTCTTTCTCGGCCTACCCCCGCCCCCCACAACCCAAACACCTGGGGAGGAAGAGCGACTCACCCTCCAGGTCCTCCTCATAGATCACGATTTCTTTATCTCCCTCCAAGTGCACGGCTGTGGAGAGAAAGGTCCGTGCCGAATGCACCCCCTGTCCCCCCCCCCCCCGTTTCCTGAGAACAGCGCCCGCCCCCATGAACAGCATCCGCCCGGCCTTCTCGGCCGCGGCTCCAGCACATCCCTTGCCCTGAAGGCATCGGTGCCGACGCTTCGGAAAGGGTCGAACGGCACTCAGCAAGCGAGCCCGCGGGGAAGGAGGACGGAGCCCTGCTGAGACCATGGCCACGGCCCCGTCCCACTCAGGAATCTGCGGACGTGAAGTCAACACTGACCCAGAGTGGCCTGCTCTCTGCGCCTTCCAGTTCCCTTCAGGTGCTGAGACTGCATTGTCGACGGGCCAAGAAAAGTCTAATTCTGCACCAGTTTAACTGGGTCTCAGCGAAGAGCAGCAGGAAGGTGTGGGTCTCAGCCTGGCCCGCCCTCCCCTGGGGAGGCTGATGGTGTGGCCCGCGCCCCAGGATGTCCGGGCACCGTCGGGGGCAAAGCGGGAGGAGCGCACCCCACACCCCCAGGTCCCGGCCGCAGGTGGAACGGGACGCGTCAGCGACCCACCTTGTAACCTCCTGAGGTCAACGGGGTCGAGGGCGGCCACGGCCTCCGAGGCGCGGGACGGCCGGCTGACGCCCGCACTGTTGACCGCCCGCACGCGGAACTGGTAGGAGCGGCCCTCGAACAGCCCGGTCACGGGGTAGGTGCAGATCTTCACGGGCGAGTCATTGCACTGCAGCCAGTTGTCCGTCCCCACCTCGCACCTTTGGGGGACAGCGGGCGAGGGAGGCAGGGCTCAGCCCACAGCGTGCAGCGGGCACACTCGGGTTTGTGCACACGTGGTGTGTAACAGTTACAACAGGAGGAGGCCACACGCTGCCGAGACGGGTGCCTTCAGAGCACCGAGGGGCCCAAACCATAAGAATAAATGGTAGCAGGCAGCTATTGAAGAAACGTGCGTTCCCGACTCTTGGCAATTTACAGGCTAAGATTAATTCCTCATTTCAGACACGTTTAGGGAAAAATCTACGGCACAAGCCATTTCAGGGCCATCCGTGGTCCTTCTTTAACAAGTTCCATCACAAAACCTGGGGGTCCCGCAGCCGCCGGGCCATCGGCCTCCCCGGCTGGGAAGGGGGGCCGCCCTCCACTCTGAGCCCAGGAGTGCAGCCCGGGTGCTGGCCCGCCACCCACGCGGATCACGGCACAGTGTTTCTTTCAGCACGGTTCCCCCGTGCAGCTGAAGTCTTGGAAAATATTGAGTCCTGACCATGTTTAACCTCCACTTTCCGGAGGCCGAGATATTTGAAGACCACACTTCCTGTCGATTTCCCAGGAGAAAAGAGCAGAGGGAGCCAAGAGCCTTTCAGAGAAATCTGCAGCCGTTTCAAAAAGAATCAACTCCCTTTTCTCCTAACTGCTCAGAATTGTTCACGAAAGTTTCTGCCCCACACCTGCTAACCCGCCCCAGCCGGAGTTCTGTGTTTTTGTCTTTCCTGGGAGGGGAGAAGGGACCGTTAACCGAGAAGGTGCCTGAAACCGGTCGGCCAGACGGCTGAAAAACCTCCAACTGCCGCAGGGGATACAAATCAGCTTCCGTTTTCTGGTTTTTAATTCCAACTAAACCCTGAAGGACCCCGAGCGCTCTGCGGTCTGACCCAAGCCTATTGAAGTATTGCCCGGACGTGAATATTTTAGCTGAACAAGTAGCTTTGTTGGGCAAAAAGAACTTAATGGCCAGAATGCCAAAAAAAAAACCAGAGCTGACTGATATTTTTTCTCAAATAACCATCTTATGTCACTGGGCTTTACACACATAAACTCTTCATCCCTCCACCCACTCAGAGCCCAAAGGCCGGACCCTCTGGTCTCACTTGTGAATTTGTCCCCTGTGACTGTCATTTCTGCTGTGACCGGCAGGTCTGTTTCAGGCACAAACCACAGGCCCGGGGACGCCTGGCCTCTCCCTGTGCCCTGCCCGGGCGGTGAGTCCCACACCGAGGGAGGGACAGGACGACACACACATCCCGGGTTTAATGACCCACATTTCAGTTTCCGCCTCAAAGGAAGTTCCCACACGGGGTCATGTCTTCACTTGGGGACCAGAAGAAGCCCTCCCCACGGAGCCAGCAGGGCCGGGAACTGCGAGCCCGCGTCTCGTTCTGCCCAGCGTCCCGTCCTCCGCAGGGAGGGACCGGCTGACCCGCACGCTACCGGGCCAGCCCGTCCCCGGCCCAGGCTGCACCCTCCACTGGACTGGACGTGACACCAGGTGCTGAACAGGTGACAACGCAGGCGCCTGGGGACGGCCGGGCCCCGCCTGGTCGGGGACACTCGCCGACCAACAGGAGTGTCCCCAACCCACAGCGAGGACCTGGGGCCCGTCAAGAATGGAGTCGAGACCCTGAGCCTGGAGAAGCACCCGGCAGGTCCTCCACGATGGCGTGGGTTCCAGGAATGTCCCCAACCCCCTGAGGACTCAGCGGGCGCTCACCGATCGACGAAGTAGCCGAGGACGGGGCTCTCGGTGGTCGTGTTGGGCGGCTTCCAGGTGACGATGACGTAGTCCCGGTTTGCGTCTTGGCACAGCACGTCCATGGGCGCGCCGGGGGCCCCTGTGACCAGCGGGTCAGCATCTGCGGGGGGGACACGACCCCGGTGAGAGTCCCTGGAGTGGGGACACCTCGGCCCCCCTCAGCCTCCCCGCTGCCCACAGGAAGCCTGTCCACTCCTCACATCCAAGGACGCACCTGTCCTACGACTGTGATGCGTCATCGGTGACAAGACATGTGAACACCTGCATGAATTTTCTTTAACTCGAAACCTCCTGCCCTGTGTGACATGCTCCCTTGACACCCCGGAACCGCGCGGCCCGGCACCCAGCGCCCCGCGAACCTCTGACGAAGAGGAAGGCGCTGTGCTCGCTGACGCCCCCTCTGGACACGATCCTCAAGGTGTAGAGCCCCTCGTCGTCCTTGCTCAGGCGGCTGAAGGACAGGGAGGCCTGGCCCTCCCCGAAGAACACCCTCGTCCACTTGGACTCCTTCAGCAGCACGTCTGAGACAGAGCGGCGGGCGGCTCAGGCGGCGGCGAGAGCGCACGGGCCCTGGGTCCCTTCACGAAAACACTCCACAGCCAAGGAAGGCTTTGCTTCCTGGTGACCCGGGCTTCCCAGCGCACCCCGCCCACCCGCCCCCACCCCACCGTGTCTGCCGGCATCAGCCGGGGGCTCGCAGCCGGCTGGGAGTTTTCTCTAAGGGGAAGCTGGGTGCAGGACAGGCCCCTGCTGTTGGGCTCTGGGGCCGTCACTCAGGAAACTACCGGTGACCCAGGGCCAGCCCTGTGACACCGTGACAGTTGCCCTGAGCCCCCAGGCGGCTACGCGGTGACTCAGAGGGAGGGCACTCCGGGAGCGTGTACTTCCAGCAAAGGGGTCAGTCGCATCCGAGCCGGGTGCAGCAGCAATTTAAAACTGAGGACTTGTTTATTTCTGGAATTTTCCACTTACTGTTTTCAGACCCGGGTTCAGTGAAACTCTGGTGGGGAAAGGCAGGGGAGGGAGGACTGCCACGTTCTCCCCCGGCAGGAGGCCGTGGTCTCAGGCCCCCCCCACCGCCCCCTGCTGAGCAGGCGTCTCTCCCTCCAAAGTCTCCCTGCACCGCAGCCTCCGGGCTGCCTGCGTCCCTGTGTCACTGTGCCCTGACTCTGCTGAGCACACGGGACACTCCTGCCCGCAGCTGACAGCCCTCCCATGGGCTCTCCCTCACCCTGACCTGTGCCCCAGGGTGACCCCGGACAGCGCACCTGGCAGCACCTGTGTTTGGCCAAGCACCGCGGCCGGTCCCAGGTCGCCTCTCACACTGAGCGATGCCAGGCTGCCCCGCTGCACCTTCCCCCGACCGAGACCGACCGTGAACGTCTCGGCAGCGGGAAGAGTGTGTGCTGCGTGGTCTCGCTCACACTGTGTGGGGTCCTGACCCCCAGAACGCCAGCCCTTTGCAGGCTGAGCCCAGAGGTGAGGGGCACGTCCCCTCGCCCAGGCTGTGCACAGAACGGCCTGTGCTGACCGGTGGCAGAGAGGCCGCCCCACCCGCAGGGCCCAGCGACACACCTCCTGGCAGGAGCCTGAGCCCGGGTCCCCGCGGCCCCCACCTGTGCCGGGAGCTGACACCGCTGCTCCCCGTGCAAACTGAGTTACCGCACTCAGAACCAGCCCGGCCCAGCACGGGCTCTAACAGATGTTAGCTCGCTGTTCTGTGTTCTTTTCCCCACACAGGGGCCTCTTTATGGAAATCTCTGGTGACTCATTAAGTTCTCCCCCGTTGTTAACCTCCCCACACTCCTGGGGCAAAGTTCAAGGTCACAGGCAGGTCCCACATTCTCTCTCTCCCGGCTTTGTCCCCTGTGGCCCCCTCAGCAGAAAGAGGAAAGCCAAGTTAACACTTTTACAACTCATTTTGCCCAAAGTGGCCAAGGCCAAGTTCACAGCCTGCAAGGGGCAGTCTCCCTGGGGGGTGGGGGGGGACGGCCTCTGCACTCACCATCCCGGTACCACTCAGCCCGCGGCTGCACTCTTTTCAGGTCCGGTGTCACCAGCAGCGTGCACTTGAGTGTGACCGTCTCGCCCTCTCTCCTGAAGGTGACCCCGAACTTCTCCAAAAACTGGACATCGAAGTGCGTGTACGGGACGACAGAGGACAAGGGCACTGCACAGAGAGAGTGGGGCGGTCACAGGCTGGCCTCCTGGCCATCTGGTCAGAGACCACCGGGGACAAAGGGCTTCTGTCGGGAGTGGCACAGGCAGGGCAGCTTGGTTGTTCTACATGCGGAGTCGACACCAAGAGACTTTGGGAGCCTACTTTTCTGGTACCCGGGCAGCTGGTGGTCATTGGTCCTGGTGCCCACCCAAAAATAAATAAATAAACCTACCCTGGACCTGGGAGGGACACCGAACTCACTGCCTACGGGCCACTGCGGGCACCGGGGAAACTGGGGAGGGCACAGCCACACAGGTGCTTCAGCCAGGGGAGGGGTGAGGGGAGGGACGAGGGGGGAAGGGGAACCACGTGGCGGGGAGTGACAGCGGGAGGCAGAGGCGCGGGTGTCCCCACGTGGCAGCACATGTCCCTAGCCCATGGCAGCCTGGCGGGCCTGGCGCCCACCCTGGTCCTGCCTGGCTGCTCCTCGGGACTGAGCAGGCCACCTGGGGACAGTCAGAAGCCTGTCCTCGAGCACCTGATGCAGCGACGGCCTGCGTTCCGGTCAAGGGTTGGGGTTCACGGATTTCCCCAACTGAAAATGGGAAGTGTCGCCGGCTCTAAGACACCTGGCAGGACCAGGGTGGTCCTCACCCGGCAGCGCAGCCGGTTAGAGCCTCGTCCCAACACACCAAGGTCGCGGGTAAAGAGGGAAAGGGTGTAAATGCCGCCTGGCCACAGAATTACATCAGGACAAACTGTCGGCAGACTGACCCTGCCAGGAAAACCAGGAGAGCCCTTTGGGCTTAAGAAAAAAGATTTGACCTTAAACCTTTTAAGTAGTTGTGATTACATGCTACACCACAACACATTTTCCTGCCCAGAAAGGAAACGGCCGACTTACGTCCAATCGGGAGTCCCACGGAGCGCAGGGGCGTCTCCTCCCCTCGGAACCCTGCCAGAGAGCGGGGTGAGCGCAGCCCGGGCGGCCCAGGGCCCACGCGCGAACCCGCCCCCCCGGGGCGCGGACTCACTCTTCACCACCACTGCCGCGTTGGTGGACACCTGCCCGTGCGCGTTCGTGGCCACTGCAGAGTAGGTCGCGGTGTCGTCGAAGTTGGCCCTTGGGAGAGAAAGCAGACGAAGGCCCTGAACCTGCCGTGGGCTGCTCTGTGAGAGCCCGTGGCCCGAACTTGGTGCAGGAGTGGGCGGGCTGAGGACAGTGGGGCGAGCAGCAGGAGCAGACCGCCGGGTCGTCCACTCTGCCAAGGCCCCGGGACAGCTCCTCCCAGGGGATTTTAACCTCGCTTTTCACTTGACTTGCAAATTAGATCTCATTAACCTCCGGCAGAGTGGCCTCACACGTCAGCACTGGCCGGCTCACCAATTAGCACTTGGGGCTGTGCAGGCAGGAAGGCTGGAGGAGAAGAGCCTGCGGTCCCCTGGGCTGTGTGTGTGTGTGTGTGTGCGTGCGCGCGCGCGCGCCCAGGAGGGCCGGCCGCCTCGCCCCTCGGCCTTGGGAACGAGGCCGCGGCCCCCAGGTCTGCAGACCTGCTGACCGACTGACAGCAGCCACTGCTGTCCCCACGGCTGTGCCGGGTGTGAGGGGAAGCTCAGCCTCCCGGGCACGGTCCCTCTTAGCTCACTCTGCACTTCCCTCCCATACGTGTGCCTCCCGGTGTGAAGTGTGCTGGCCCGGGGCACGCACACAGATGGCGACAGACCCAGCTGCACGCATGCACGAGGGGGCCCACACGCCCCGCCGCGTCCCTGCACGGCCGGTGCCCTCTCCCTCCCCGGGCCGAGCGAGCCTCTGCTCCGTCACTCAGGGACGAGGGGAAGGGGCCTCCCTTCCTGTCCTGACGGGTCCCCAGAACAGGAGACGGCTGTCCACGAACCCCCCCCCCGGGGCACCCTCCTGTCCTGGAGTCCCCCTGTGGGGAGCCCCAGGCCAGCTCCGGCGGCGAACCACGGACATTCTGTCCCCTTCCGAGGCGGACAGACACGCATGTCCTTCCTCCCGGGCGGGCAGGCCCTGTGCCCTTAGGCTGGATGCTGCCACTGGACTTGAAGTGTCACTCTGCTTAGAACTGGAGTGTCCCCATCTAAAAATAAAGTCCGAGAAGAGGGTTAGGCCCACAGCCCTTCGGCGAGGGTGGGGGCCGGTGTGACCAAGAACACACGGGGCCACGGTGCTCGGCTCTCCCGGGAGCACTGCGCGCCGCATTAACATTCCTCGGAGAAAGGGGACGCCCACCGCGAGTCCCCCGGGGACGTCTATGAGCTCGCAGAACGGCGCACACTCCAGCCGGCATTCACGCGGCCCCGCCGGCCGGGCCCCACGCTGCTCTCTCAGCAATCCAAGAATCCGCCCGGCCAGGCCAGGGCACATTCCTAGGGACACATGTCACCCTGTAACCGGAGGAGAGGCTGGTTCCCCAGCAGCTCACTCCGCCCCGCAGGAGCCGCTGGGGTCCGGTGACCGGGACTCAGCACATTGGGACCGACAGCTGGCGGCACGGGCGTGGGCTCCCCGGCCGCTGCCCGAAGGGCGGTCCCATGTCCTATGTTCGAAACACCGGCCCGGCTCGGAGAGCTGTGCGGACGGACGTCCCTCCCGGGGTTCCTTTGCCCGCCGCCGGCGTGGACCCGCCTCAAGTTGGGGTCTCGGTCTGGGACCCCGGTGCCCACGGCCGGCACTGCGTAGGTCCTCTGCCGACGGTGCGGGCCTGGCCTCCAGGCAGGAGCCCCGACTCCTCTGAGGAGACTCGAGTCGCCCTGGGGAGCCACACCCGTCAGCACCCTTCACGCCCGTACGACACCCACAGGTGGGGGTCCCGGTTCTATCGGGAACCCGGCGGGGCCCCAGGAGGCTGCATCTCGGGCTGAGAGGAGGCGAGGGCCACGGAGCAGGAGCAATGCCACCCTGAGGGGACGCGGCCTGGGCTGCGGGTGAGGGGCGGGGAGCACCCGAGTCTGGGCTTCCCCCCGGGAGTGCAGACAGAGCCCACGGTGACACCGTCACTGCCACACACGCCAGAGACGGCAAAGCCCCGAGCCGCACACGGCCGGGTGTCTTCCTGACTCGCTGGCACTCGGTCCCCGCGGTTTCCCCGGAGGGCTGGCTGCGACTCACCACGCACACAACTGCCCTGCGGGAACACACACACCTGCAAATTCGCGTCCCTCTCAGTAACCGCCTGAAACGGAGCCCCTGGCATCCCTGCTGCGTGACTGACACGCATTCGATGCTGTCAGACCAAAGGTCAGCAGTTCACAGGTCAAAGGCGGACGGGGGACCAGCGCAGGCCACTGCCTCCTCCACTGTGTCTGTGGGTTTCAGTGACTGTGCAGGAAGGAGCAGGTTTGGGACGGGGATGTGCTCCTAAAACTATGGCCTGCACAACTGGTGATCTTCCAGTGAAAAGCAAAAACCGCGTTATACGCAGGAACAGGAGCGCCTCACTTCAGTCGGAAAAGCGCGGAGTCTGCGGCCGTCTGCGCATGCGCTGGGTCGGGAGGCAGAGCCGCCCGCTCACCCACGGCTGACCCTGGGCGCCGCGCGGGCGGGCCGCCGCGTCTTCTCTCACTTGCCTGTTCTGTCTGCCCTTTTCTATTGGGCGTGGGAATCAGACCAAGGTTGCGTTTCTTTGAAGAGTTTGAGCTGAAGACGGTGCTCAACCTGGTGCAAGACGCAGCCGGGTGCGGGCGCGGTGTGCGCCCCCGCCCCGTCTCCCTAGCTCCCTGCAGCCCGTGCACGGCCTCACCTGTGGATCTCCAGAGTGTGCACGCCGTACATGCTCTCGACCCTGTACTTGCCGGGGTCGGCCGCCTGGCAGATCAGGTTGCCGTCTTTGTACCTGAAGGAGGTGGCACCGGGGTCCGTGTGGGAAAGGCAGGCATGTGGCCCAGCCACCCCTCCGCCCCCAGGGGGCCACTGCCTGCCCCTGCACGTGCCTCCTGTGTCTCAGACTGTGGTTGAGGGACAGCGGGGACCCCAGCTGCTCTCGCTGAGCCCTGACCATCGGTCACACCTGGACCTGGGACAGTGAACTCAGGACCCCCCACAGGAAACTCGATGGAGGAACCGAGGTGGGCTGCTCCCTGCCCAGCCGCCTGGAGCCCAGCACCGTGAGGACGCACAGGGGAAGCTCGAGGGTCCAGTGCCCTGATCCTGGCTGGGGGCAGCCGGCCACCCTGCCCCACCTGCCCAGGACCACGCCAGGGGCTCCGAGACACGACCCTGCACTGCCCCGGGGCTTGGTGACAACGCACGGTCATCCCAGTGCAGTGCAGGCCCCACCCAGGGGTCTCTGTGGGGTTGGGCACAGCCACCGGAGCGTGGGTCACTCAGAGTGAGAGTCCTCTGGCAACCTGGCCAGCCCTTCTCACCGAGGCCGAGGGCCTGGGTGTAGTCACATTGGACCTTGCATGGTTTTTTAATTTTTTTCCTGTGAGTTTCATAAAGGTGTGTCCCCCATGGTTCTGAGCTTGGCTGAGGGGGAGTGGCTGTGGGACCCAGCACCCTCTGCACCTGGACCCTGGAGCCCGGCAGGTGCCTGAGCAACACTGCATGGCTGTGCTCGGCCCGGGGCCCACTCACCACTGCACCACGGGCGTGGGGAAGCCCTGCACGGTGAAGCAGAGCTTCACGCTCATCCTCTCCCAGACGGTGTGGGAGCGCAGGCGCACCAGGATCTCGGGGGCCCGCCTGGTCCGCTCTGCGAAGGTGTCCTGCTCCTTCATCCAGGCCAGCTTGTCCTGCACCTGCCCGAGGAAGCAAGGACAGTCCATCGTGTGTGGCAGGGGGGATGCGCCCCACTGGCCCCTGGGTAAGCAGGCCTCTGCCATCGATCCTGCCACGGGACGTCGACACCCCAGCCCTGCCCAGCCCCCCACGGGCCCCTGGAGCCCCGCCTACCATCTGCTGGATGGAGAACTTGTCCAGTGTGTCCCGGGCCTGGGTGCGGGCCAGGTGCACGTCCTCCTCCAGGTCGGCCAGCTCGCCCAGGAAGCGCCGCCGCTTGGTCTCTGCGTATGAGGCCACCAGGGACCGGTACCTGTGGGAACAAGGGGGAGACTGCCCTTGTGGCCCCGGTATGGTCGCTGGGGGCCGGAACCTTCTTTGCCTCTGTCTCTCATTGGAGGGCGTGCCGGGCCGTGTGAGTACTGCCCGCCAGGTATGGAGAAGGGTGGGGACTAGGTTCCCAAATGACACAGACTCCCGATGACCCTCGGGCCTCCTGGGACAGTCACAGGCACCAGGGACCCTGTGCTCTGGGCAGTGGCTGGGAGTGGCCATGTGGGCCCTGGGCCCCGCACCTGGGGTGTCCTTCAGAATGGCCCTCCACACGGGGGCCACAGCAACGACCAGGCCTCGGTCAGAAGAGGGGCTCCCTACACACAGGGCCGCTCACTCCTCCCGTCCACCAGGCCTCCCACACGCGGCAGCCGCTCAGTGTCAACCGTGCGGCCTGTCACACAGCCTTGCTGGGCACAGTCACCCAGGGACCGCAGGGCAGTGGCTGCCTCAGGCCTCAGACACGGTGGTCGGGCCCTGGGCCAGGGCTCGTGTCTGTCAGTCCCAGCGGGACAGTTTAGGACAGCCAAGCCCTGAGCCTCGGCTCAAGCTGCAGGGCTGCACACAGAGCGACCTGTGTCCCCGGCAGGCAGCCCCCTCTCAGTGAACCCAAGACTTAATGAAAGGCTGTGGAACTGACAGAGACAGAGAGAGGTCGGTCCGTCCTCCAGGAAGATGAAAAGAGTACTAAGCAATGCAGCCCGGTGCCTGCACCCCCTCCTGCCCTGTCCCCCCCGAGGGATGTGCTGTGACACTCTGAGCCCCTGACCCCCACGGGATGCACTCTGACCCCCGACCCCCCACCCCGGCGGGAGGAAGGCGGACAGCCGCATACCTGCTCTCATCCTCCTGCGCACTCTCCTCCTGCGCGGAGCTCACCCTCTTGGCGCACAGCCTGCAGATGGTGCTGCCGGAGGACAGTGAAGAGGTCTGGCCGGCCGCTCTCTGGGACGAGGACGCCTGCACCAGGGACTTCTGGGAAGAAGCCTGGGTCGAGGAGCGCCTGAGGGAGGTTCAGAACGTGAGGGCGTCAGAGACCTCGGGGACGCGTCTTAGCAGACGCCATCCCTCCCTCTGTACACGCCACACCCACCCTGTGACACACATGCACGCATATGTACAAGCTGTGTACAGTGTGCTCACATGCAGCTCTCATGTGTGTGCATGCTCACCTGTACAGCATTTGGAATCACACACCAGTTCACACATGTGTGCATACTCGTGTGTACACGCACCCAGGCGAGCACACTCACACACAGGTGTGCACAGGTGCACACTCAGCCCATGTCCCTCCACACCCCGGTGCCCCCTCTGCACGAGCCCATCCGCAGGGGGCACCTCCCCCCGCCCCGCCCCCTGCAGCAGCCTGGTTCGTCCACCACTCTGGCCGGACGCCACGGGTATATATATATCTCAAGGGCCGAGAAGCTCCTGAGGCCACCGGGAGGGGCTGCAAATGTTTGGCTTTGTTTGTTACGGGGGTGGCAACGGAACTGGAGGACCAGGGGCACCTCTAAATATAGAGACACCGTGTCACCAGCTCCGAGGGCCGAGCTCGCCACCCAGCAGCGCCTCACACTTACCAGGCCTGTGGCCCGCTGCCCCGGGGCCTCAGCTGCAGCCCCCCCCCCCCCGGAGGAACTGCAGCACAGGACGAAGTCCCAGAAGAAGGTGCTTGACTGCAAGCTGAGAGTCAGAGACTCGGTTCACTTCTTGCTACATTTTGTATTAGCCTAGCAAAGTCATCATTGAATTGGCTTCCACCCACCTTCCCTTTGCCATCCCATAGTTCCCAGCCCACCGACACCTCCCCCTCTCTGCCCTCCCCATCTCCCTGCAGTGACTTTTCAAACTCCTGTTCTGGGAGATGTGTGAAGGACAGTCAGATGCATGGGCATTGACCAAAAGTTCCCGCCCTCCTCTGCTCCAACCCAGGGCTCAGAGGCCACCTGCCAGGGTCCCCCGGGTCCAGCAGGATCCTCTGCAGCACCCACACACAGTGCGCTGCCCAGCGGGGCGGCCACAGGCCCCTCCGACCCGGAAGATGGCATCAGGGAGCAGAGCCTTCCCGGACCCCACCCCCACAGGTCTCCAGGTTCCCGGGGCGTAAATGCCGGATGCGCCCGGTCAAAGTGCCGCGCCTCCAGCCAGCGAGCGCCGACTCACTTCTTTCTCGCCGCATACTCGCTGAGCAGGTACCGCGCTTGCGTGTTCCGGTACGACTGGTCAAAGTGCTTGTGCCGCTTCTGGTAGAAGGGCACCGCGACAAGTGACATCGTGGGGCAGGCCTGCGGGTGGAGAGGGACGGGCTGAGCTGAGGTCCCTTCGGGGCCCGGCCCGCGATTTCTGCCTAACAGGGCGCATCGGCGCAGCAGGGAAACCAGCTCCAACCAGCAAGAGCCCCGGGCAGTGAGTGGCCGACCAGGGACGTGGCGGTCATCTCAGACTAGGCGTCCAGGGCCCGTCTGGGTTTCCCGGGACTGGTTCTGTTTTTTATTTGCTTCCACACAATTCTGGGCTGCATGTTTCATGCAACCATGAGCTCAGCACGTATTTATAGAATGCCTAGCATGTCCAAGGCGATGTCAGGGACGAGAATAAAAATAATCAAACACAGATCAGCGACGTGGACACACACTTGGACTACAAGAGTGGAGAGGCAGAAGCACTCTGGGGAGTGGGAGGGGCACGGGCCACAGGGCGGGGTCAGCTGGGTACCCTGCGGACGGGCGGTGGAGGGGGTGTGCGGGGCGACTTTCTGCATCTCCTCCGAAAGCTAGGAGGCACTCCTGCCCCAAAGGTTTGAGGAAAGGGACCAGCCACCTGCAGCCCCGCTCGGCTGGGATAGGCGGGGAGTGGGGGTGGGGAGGGGCGATGAGCGTGCTTTGGTTGACTTCTCCCCACAGGAGAGAGAGGTGGGCTCCATCTGGGTGGGGCCTCGGAGGCAGAAGTAGAGCAGGTGCTGGAGGGCCGCTTGCCGAACCTGCTCCCCTTAAATAAGTGACAGGCTCGCTCCCTGGGCTGTTGGCTGTCCCCAACAGGGTGCGTCCCTACATCTCTGTGAGTGCGAATTTCTCACATACAGAGCGAAGGAACTCCCCCAAACCCGAGCTCCGGCCTTGTCATTTGTGTTTAAATTGAAATGACCTGCCCTGATTTTCCGCAGGGCCCTGTGACACAGCCCCAGGGGATGTGGCCCACCCCCAGGACAGGGTGGCGAGGAGTGGCTGGCACTGCTCTGCGAGGGGCTGCCTCTGCCCCGACCCCCAGGGCACAGAACTCCGGGGAAGTTAGAAAACCCCCCCAGGTGCCCCGGGGGCCCCCAGCCGGCTGCTCGGGGTCAGTCTCCTCTGGGCCGCGAGGCCCCAGAGCCACAGGTGTGTGGAGCTCAGACAGGCTATGGGGAGGGTCCCGGCCCCCGTGCTCCGGGGCACGAGCAAGGGCACGGTGGCTGGAGAGGGGGTGGGCCCCAGAGACCCTCTGACCTCTCTTTCCACCGTGCCCCAGGCCAGCTCATCTCAGTATTTCCTCCCACCCACCAACCAACTGGCCGGCCAGCCACCACCCCCTCGGAGGGGCCGGGTACATTCTGCACGGTGCTGGCGCAGAGTTGATTATAAATATAGCCTGGAATACTGCGTGCAATGGAACAGCCAGTGCCAAGGTCAAGGTCAAGAGCACAGGCTTTGACATCTGATGGACCGGGACCAGCTGGCTCCAGCTCTCCTCCCTGCCTCCCTCTGACATTCACCTGGTCAGCACGCGCTGACCTGAGAGTGGGCGCTGCTCTGAGGTCCACTCTCTACCTGAAAAGCACCTCTGCCGCTTGTTAGTGTCGCACCGGCCTGGAGGGGGATCCCAGGGCCTTCTTCGGGGACCTTGGGCACGCCACAGCCGCCCGGGACTGTCTGCTCGGTGCCGGCGAAGCTCAAGGACCTGAAGTCGGGCCCCTGCTGGGGGACACGTGGCTCCTTCGGACCAGTGTCCTCTCCGGGCTTTCTCCGTGGCACCTGCGCTCACGGGGGAGGAGCTGTCACCCCAGAAACACAGAGCTTCCCCCTCCTGCTGCTTGTCCATGGTCAGGTCCCTTCACCGGGTTCCTGGAACCCTCAAATCCGTGTGCATTTCTTGGCAAAAGGAAGAGTCCAAAGCTGGCCGAGGGGACAGGAGAGGATGCTCAGCCGTGAAAATTCCGAGTCAGGGCGCAGCACCCCCGAGCCACCTGCCCCAGGAGAAGGCGGGCACCTGCTGGGGCCCGGGCTGTAGCTCTGAAGGAGAGGCTGGCACTGCTCACAGCCAGCAGCCTGCTGCTCCTTCCTGGGTCCAGAAGTCCTGTCCAGTGCCCTGGGCACGCTGCACCCAGGACAGGCTGAGCGCGGCACTTGGTCGTGTGGGCAGGATGTCCCGGCACAGCCGTGAGGAGGGGTCCCTGTGGCAATCAGGGCCTGAAGCGGGACTCGGGGGCCCGGGCTCTGCCTCCAGACTCTCACGGCCGTGTCCCCCACGACACTGTCACCCTCACCTCCCATCCGCAGATCACTGATGAAACACCATGCTGAGGGCCACGCACACCAGGGCTTCTCGGACTCAGCTCTGCTCATCTGTCACTCCACAGACATGTGGGGCGTGTGCCCTGTGCCAGCCCGGCCTGGGCCCCGGAACCACGGCAGCCCCAAGAGGGGGCCCCTCGGGGTGCCCTTGCCCAGACAGCAGCTGCTCGCCTGTCCCCGTGCCGATGTGTCCTCGACGCCACCAGCCTGTGCCGACTTTCAACCTCACGCCTGGACCAGCCACTGCAGGAGGACGGGGCAGCCACGTGCCCTCTCCTGGGCCCCCACTCTGGCCTGTCCCCGAGCGCCCAGGAGGGGTGAAGGATGAGTTCTCTGGGAAGCCCTGAGGTCAGAAGGCTGCCAGGAGGGGCCACGGGGAGAACAGGCCAACTCGCTGAGCTCTGGCCGACACCAGAAAGAGGGGGAGTGGCGGGCCAGCAGCAGCTGGAACCCTGACGTCCCCCGCAGGGACGGTGGCCCGCAGACGTGTCTCCTCACCTCACACATCAGAGAAGGAGGGGAGCAGCTTGCCACACGCGCAGCGCCGGGCGCGAGTCCCCCGAGAAACGGGGGCGTGTGCGTCTGACCCGGCCTGCAGGGCACGTGGTGGGAAGCGACCCCACGGCCGCAGCAACTCACTCAGCCCTGGGGGCGTGCGGCCGGCGGCACACACAGGCTTCGGGTGTTTTTGTTTGTTTTCAGCAAAGTAACCAAATTTACACAATTTGACAGTGAATGAGCTCATTCCGTCCAGTTCCAAACCTCAGCCTTACCCGGGAGAAAAACGACCTGCCCGGGCACTGACTCTGCTCACCCTGTGCCCCCCGCCCCGCCAGCTCATGCCCCCCCACCCCACCCCCGCTCCTCCACACGTTTGGGGTTTAGGGCAGTGGAGGGAAACCTGTCCTCACGTCCCTGGCACACAGCGGCTAGCTCAGGCCTCGTCCCTTCCAGGACTGGAGCCCGTGTTTCACGTCACCCACGGGGGCTCCCACGCCTTTCTGCCGCCACACGCTCACTCCTACGTAACCAAGAAACTGGCACAGGTGCGGCTGAAGGGTTTGTCAACCCACACGCTCGCCAAACCAAGGCTTTTCTAGGGGACGGAAGGGGCGAGCGGGCCTGCAGGGGGACGGCCCCCGGGACAGGGCTCCCCGGAGCTCGTTCATGTTGGGCACTGCTCACCCCAGAGGTTTGTCCGAACCACTCGGCACCGAAAGACAAGACCACGGAGCAAAAGGTAAGACTGACAAACCGCCAGCTGTGCCAAGTGCGGGAGAGACAGAGGTCCGATTTCTGGTGGGTCACTCGCAGCCCTCCCCCGAGTCACCCTCAGAGCCGGGCCGGCAACGGCCCAGGCTGTCCGGGCACAGCTGCAGGCCGACTCCCCAGGACCCGACTAGCTCCGAGGCTTAAGGAGATCAGCTCAGATGAGTAAGGGCGGGAGCAGTGGCTTCCCGGATGGGGAACGCTCCAGCGGCCAGCTGGCTTCCCGCACTGAGGAATTAAAACCAGATCAACAGTTAGGGCGGCAGTTCCTTCCCTAAGTCCCCCCCCCCCCCTGGAGTCTCCTGGTCTCTGTGAGAAGCTGAGAAGCAGCCCCGGAGGTGGCGGACCCCGTTCGACCTCAGCTGCAGGCAAATCCCTGCGAAGGCTCAGGGCTTCGAAGGACTCTGCTCCTCAGTGTCCCCAACTCCTGCTCAGCAGGAAGGAGCCTGAGACCAGGACGGAGGGACAGGAAGCCGCCCTGCCATCGGGCGCAGGGGACCCCGCCTCCGGGAGTGAGCCGGGGAAGCTGGCTCTCGGGGGCCGACGGGACGTCTGCCAGGTCAGCAGAGAACAGCCGCACGACCGACCTCCCGGGGGACTTGGGCACACGAACAGCAGTGCTGTCCTCTCCCCCGTCCCCTGGGCTCCGGGGCTACAGCAAGTGACCTCAGGTCCTTGTTTTCTTAGGAGAAATCCAACCTCATTTCACACCTTCGCACACCTGCACTCTTTTCCCTGTCCTTCTGAGACTCACAGAAAGTTCAGTCGCCTGTCACAGACCAGGGGACCGGCAGGGAGTGACCCCAGTCGGGGTTCCCCTGCCGTGCTGCAAGGGGTGCTGGGACAGCGCAATGACACGGAACACAGACACGCACGTCTGGGGAACCGGGGTTTGCCCCGCACAGGTGAGCTTCTTCACGCTGAATCGGGTGCAGCCGGCCTCCGCGCGGGTGCCGTCCCTCCCACCGAAGCCTCGAGGCAGCCGGGGACGGAGACTCACCGAGAGGACAGGACAGCGGTGAAGGGGAGGCAGCAGCGCCCGGCTCGCCCGGCTCAGGGAGGCAGCAGCGCCCAGCTCCGGGGCAGAGCCTGTCCCGCCCCATTTATGGGCTCCGAGCTGCTATATATAGACTGGTGGCTCTCTCCCAGACGGACACCCACGCCGTAAATCACAGCCTGTCTGGGGAGGAAATGGGTCCCGTTGCAGCTGGAGAAAGTCACACAGAAAAGTGAAAGTCAGGGCTTGTTCCCTTCTTCCCCCAGGAGACACCGACACCCTAAGGTGACCGAGTGCGGGGAGGGGGGGTGAGGGGGGCAGCGTGCAGGCATTTTCACTCACGCGAACTTGTAAACGCAAGTCCTCAGACTCACCTTCACCCCTTCCGAGCAGCCGGGCACCTGCAGGGAAACTCGCCAATGGCTCTTGTGTGTCGACGCCGAGCACGCGTGTCGCTGGGCCGGGGCACGGGACGAGAAGGCTGGGGGCCTCTGGGGCTCGTGTTCGTGTGTTTGCTTTCATTTCAAAAGCGACTCAGGCTGTGGCTCGGTTTCACGCTGGGATGAATTTAGCAAGAAGTGCCAACCTTAAAGAGGACCGTGCCTCGTTGGCAAAGCACATTTACAGTTACGGCCACTTCCAACCCCCAGAGAACCCCAGGGAGCCCTCTCTGCCCACGGCACACGTCCACATACAAGCAACTCAAGACCGGCAGGACCGCGGGCTGGGAGCTGGCACGTGCCGCCCAGAGGAGGGGCCGTGGGGACGGCCCGGTCTCGAAAGGCTTTGCACACAGCTCAGCACCGGAGGCCAGCAGGCCACCCACCTTGGGGCTCTGCTTCCTCACCTGTAAAATCTGTGTACCAGCGCCTCTTCCGTAAGTCTGTTGCAAAAATTAGAGGAAGTAACCTACAGGAAGCTCCTGAGAGCCTCAAAAACATCTCATCTCTCGTTTATCAGAAACTCAGCCCGAGACCAGCAAAGCAGGTCAGCAAACGAGTCCCTTCAACACCTAGGACAAAGGCATCGACTTTCCTCCTCCGAGTGTCCCCTGAGTACTTCCCCAGGGCGACAGACTTTTATCCGGCATCGTTTCCCCTGTGCACTCGGAGGGGCCAGCGTTTAACCTAGAATTGTCAGGCGGACGGCAAACACAGCAGTGGCCGTGTGGCTTCCGTTCACCCGTGTCGCCCCTTCAGGAGCCCAACCCCTCTTCCGTGGGGCCCCAGGATGCAGACGGGACGAGGATAACGGCTGCCCAATGGCGTCTCCGTCGTCCGGGCCAGGCCCTGAGGGCACCCAGGGGCCAACCGCTCCTCACCCTCATTTGGGCTCAGGCCCCAGACTGAGGGGGCTGTTTCCTGGAACCCCAGAGCCTTGGGTACGCGTCACTCGGCTCGCGCAGCTGGGACCGAGCCGGCCCCTGGCAGGACCAGCGTCGTCGGGATACGGATTAGCAGTGGACACGGCCCCGAGTCCTCTCAATGCAGGGAAGCCCATGGACCCCACACACGAGGAGCTGGACCACCATGAAGCTCGGGCCACAGGAGTCAAAAACAAATGTCACCATCTGTCACTTCAAAACAGTAACTCGGAGGGAAGCTCCAAGGCCGGACGAGGAGAAAGTCACATTGTGTCCGAAGGAATAAGGACAAGAACAGCAGGAGACTTTTTCATAAGAAACGGAGCACAGGAGCCCTGGCCCCACTGTAGCTCAGTGGGTTGGAGTAGTGTCCTATAAACTGAAAGGTCACTGGTTCGGTTCCCAGTCAGGGCACATGCCTGGGTTGCGTGTTCGATCACTGGTCAGGGTGCGTGTGAGAAAAAACCAATAGATGTTTCTCTCCCTGCCCCTCCCTGCCCCTCCCTCCCTTCCCCTCTCTCCACAATCAATAAGCAGGTCCTTGGGTGAGGATTAAAAAAAAGAAAGAATGCAAACCAGAAGTAGTATCCACAAAAAAAAACCTCTATGACCACAAAAAGAAACTTCCAGAAATGAAGGTGACACCCTGCCCCCAGCCAGGTGTGACCCAGCCCCCAGTGCCTCTGGAGCAGCCACCGGGCGCGGGCCCCAGAAGGCTGTCGGGGACGACCCGCGGACGCTCGGTGCCACAGCTCAGTGCCACCAGGTCCAGCCGACACCACGCCTCCCCAGGCCCACGACGGACCGGGGGGGCCACTCCCACAACCCGCACCCTGACTGCCACCCGCCCTTGAGCCCCACCCCCTGCAGACCCCATCAGGGCACCCGGACAGCCTGCCCCCTGCCGGAGCTGTCACCAGGCCTGTTCAAAGCACTCCCCTCGTCTGTGTCCCCCAGACCCACGATGGGCCGTCCAGGCTCTCGCCACTGTCCCCCTCCGGTCTCCACCCACTGTCCCCCACGCCGTGAGTGGTCACCTCCCTCAGGCCCCAGAGACTTTGCCCCTTCTTCCTCCAGGGCACCCTCAACCCTGCCCTTCTCCCTGCCACCCCCAGTCCAGGCCAGGACACGCCTCTCTCCTCGGCCACGTCTACTCCAAATCAGTGCGAGTCTGCTCCGTCACCTCCCACCCCTAAAGCCCCTTACCCTGTAAAACGAAGACCCGCTCACTGCACGGAGAAGCCCTCGTCCGGCCAGCAGCCCTTCCAGGGAGCATCCGGCCCGCCTGTCTCACCAACCAGACGGGGGCCCCCGCTGTCTGCCGCTCACGCAGCCCCCTCGGCGAGCGTGTGCTCACTGCAGACACACGGCCGACAGGTGAGCAGTGGGCCTCCTGCAGCGGGGGCTGGAAACTGGGCAGCGACAGCACTGTGGTCCTTCCCAGACCCAAGGTGACAAGATGACTCGGCGTGTCTGTAATGGAGCCCAGAGTTTTTCCATGTTTTGAAAGCCCCAGCCTGTCCCAGGACACCTGGCAGCTGGTGGCCGATCTGGGCCAGGCAGATGGCCTGTGCATGTTTGGCACGACCGTCTTGGACTCGCCGCCCAGGTGGGCGCGGGGGAGTGACGTGCCAGGGCCAGGGGACTGGCGGCTACTCGGAAGTGAGGGGACTCCTCTGGGCCACTCAGGGGACTGGCTTTGTCCTCGTTTCTGTTCACAGATGTGGCCCCAAATTACCAGACAGCCTGTCTCCACGACGTCACGAGCAGCTCGGCGAGGCCCTGGGAGCTCCGTTCCGGCCGGGCCCCGAGCTGCGGTGAAGGATGCTGGCAATGGCCCATCTCACGTTTGTTAGTCTGGGGCGGCGTGACCCCGGCACGGTCCCCTCCGCCGCCCTGGGCCTCGGCTGCCCAGCTTGTAAGGTGAGCACTGGATTAGAGGGTCTCCCATCTAAGCCCCACGCACTACCATTTCACCCCCGGGTGGCCGGGCGCTGGGAAGGGGCATTAACACCCAGGGTCAGACCCAGGACGCAGGAACCAGAGCCAGGCTGGCCGTGCCAACAGGATTCCGTCCTGATGGTGCTGAAAGGCCCGGAGATTACGGACAATGCCACGAGCCGTGTGCTCATGAGAACAGTGAGCGGCTGTGATGAGACAAAAACGGGTGGGAGGCAGGCAGCTGGCAGGGCACCCTGTCCCGGGAGAGGGTGGGCGTGCAGGGCAGGCTGAGATAGGCCGAGGGCCAGCCCATGCCTGCCTGTCAGATCCGGACAGGACACCAGCCCGGGGACACCCCACCCGGCCCCCTCCACTCCGTTCACCCAGCCAGAGAGCCAATTGAGGCCCAAAGTGGGGAACCAATCGGCCAGGGTGACTCGGGTTCACCATGCAGTGGGTTTGAACTGACTCACACAGAATCTTTACCTCCTGATTCCCCTCCAGAGAGGGGCTGGTTTCCCCAGGGGGTATGCAGCCTGGTCAAGGTCGAGGTCAGGGTGAAGGCTGGGATCCAGTTCAGCACATGACTCGGCGCAAACCCCACTGGGGGTTGGGGTCACAAGCGCCCTACGCACACTGAGGTCAGAAGCAAGCGCTGTAAGTGGCTTGCGATTCTAGTCCCAGGTGTGCGGCGTCCTGGTTCCCAAGAGCACGCAGGGTGGGGAGCGGGGCTCAGGGACAGACCGGGGACCGGGGACTTGCTTTGCCAGTGACAGGTGTCTGAGCAGCTGACGTGGGCCCCGGGTGTCCCCGAGACACAGCGTGCTGGCTCGCTCCCCCTGCTGCCGGGCACACCGGGCCAGGGACCAGTGTGCCCACCCCCACCTGCAGCCAAGAGCCACGGCTCCTCAGCCAGCGAGACGATGCAGGCGAAGGTGTTTTTCTTCGCAGGGTTAACCCGAGGCCAGGACAACACTCGGGTTTTCCAACCTCGCACCCCGGCACCTTGGAAAACAGTGCCTGAATCACACAGGCCTTCTGAATTCCACCCCACGACAGCAAGAGCCCGTGCGGTTGACACAGCCACCGACGTCCTCAGTGATGAGGCCCATTTCGACCCCTAGACTCCCAGGGGTCCGTCAGAGGTCGCAGGGACTCAGGACCCAGGAGCCTCCTCGGTGGGTTGACCTTCAGGCTTCTGGCTTCTCCCAAAGGGAGTGTTCAGCTTCCTTCCACTAGAGGGCGCACGGGACCCCAGAGCAGGCTTCCTCCTCTTAGGAGGGTAAAATCTATTAAAACAACAGCTTGGAGAAAAAAAATTGAAAGCATTTTACAGGAGACAGTAAACACTACAAACAATTTTAACTAACTGCGCTACCAATAATCTTTTGCAATTCTGGCAAAAACTGTATTAATCCGAACTTGGCTCCAGCTCAGCCCAGAAAGAGTAACTGTATATCTCCCCAGCCACAAGGTGAAAAGACCCAAGTGGGGGGAGGCAGTTTGGTTACTTGTAACAACTCTGACATCAACACGAGTTTTCGAACGTCTGCAGGTGTGTGTCTCTGTGTGCATGGGTGCACGTGTGTCTGCGTGTGTTTGCATGAGTGTGCGCCGGTGTATGGCGTGTGTGCACACATCTGCACTCTCACTGTGACAGCTGATCGCATGCGTCTTCCTGGCCCGGCCACGCTGCCCAGAGGCTTGCTCACACACCTGTCCAGGTGTTCATGTGCAGGTGCGATTTCTGGGGGAGTGGCTGCTACGAGGCTCAGGGTGCTTTGGGGGGTGACAGAGATCTCTAAGATTGGGTGGTGGCCACATAGCCCTGTGAATACCCTAAAAACCACTGGGTGGCGGGTTTTAAGTGGAGGAGCTGCATGATACGTGAGTCACGCCTCCAC